ATACAAGGTGGATTATAAGAGATTCATATAAGGTCCCTCACAGAAGGGGAAAGGGACGAGTCCCCCAGAGCTCAGGAGAAGTGGGGGGGCAGTGAGTAGAGAGGGAGCTAGGAGAAAGAAGGGAGGAGAGGAGAGCACATGGGACTAGGAAGATGGAGTCAGGGTAGGAATAGATGAGTGTGTGTGTGTGTGTGTGTGTGTGTGTGAGAGAGAGAGAGAGAGAGAGAGAGAGAGAGAGACCATAAAAGAGGGAGCCATTATAGGTTTGAAGAGAAAACTGAACCTAGAGAAATGTCCAGAGACCTACAAGACTGACCCCAACTGACAATTTGAGCAACCGTGGAAAGGATACCATAATGCCCTTCCCTGATAATGAGATCAATGACTAACTTATCCACCATCATGGAGCCCTGATGGAAACAGAAACAGACACCACAACTAAACACTGAGCCAAACTGGAATCCAGATTCAGAGAGGGAGGACAAGACCAGGCTACAGAAAGCCACAGAGACAGCTGACCTGGACAAGTAGGAGCTAACGAGCCCCCAGACTGATAGCTGGGAATCCAGCATTGGGACTGACTCAGACCTCCTGAACATGGGTCTCAGTTAGAAGGCCTGAGCAGTCTAAGGGACCTCAGACAGTGGAACCAGGATGTATTCCTGGTGCACAAAAGGATGGTGTGGGCACATCCCCCATGGAGGGATACTGCCTTAATCTAGAGGCAGGAGGGAGGGCCTAGGCCCTTCTCCAAATGACTTGACAGATTTAGATGACCCCTCCTGGATGTCATCACCCCACATGTGGAGTGGGGGGGGGATGGGAGGGGAGAGTGGTCAGGGCCATGAGCGGGTGGGAGAGAGGGAAAGAGGGAGGGAGGGAGAGAGAACTGGGACCAATATGTAAAATAAAAATAAATAAATAAATACACATACATATATATAATGTACATATAATATATATAATAAAACTATAATTGGAAAGGAGAATAATTAAGTAGGAGAACGACTGGGTCCCAAAATGCGAACAACAGATGTTCTGGCTGTTGTTCAATGTTTGGAGTATTTTATAACTTCACAGGTATCGCTGTTTTATTCCTTAAGGTTACAGAAACTGATCTCTTATGAGTTTCCCTTATCTCAAAGAAACTTCAGAGGTTTCATATTCTCTCTCTGGGGATACACCTGTGTAGATGTGTGCACATACCTAGAAGCCCATTTCCATTCTATTTTCTGATTCTACGTCAATATTTGTTTCCACAGGACAAGGTCAATTTCAAAGGGCTGCCCTGGTGAGCTGCTTAAGCACGATAATCCTAAGGGCCCTTTGAGATTTCTCTGGCTTCTATTGCAGTGAGACTGTTGTGGAAAGGGGATCTCCACTATGGGGTTCTTCTCCACTGCAACAGTGTAGTGGCGATCATAGAAGCTACAGCTGTGATGGTTTGGATGAGAAACATTCCCAGGAGTCTCTGGCTCATGAATGACCTACCCCTGGTCGGTAGTTCTGCTTGGGGAGGCTTAGGAGATGTAGCCTTGTTGGAGAAAGTATGTCAGCTTTGAGAGTTTAAAGGCTTGCACCCTCTGCTTTGTGTTTGCTGTGTAACATGTGAGCTCTCAGCTTGCTGCTCCAGCGTCCCCCAACTTGCAGGCGATCGGCCCCTGTCCCTCTGGAACTGCAGGCCCAAACAAATCTTCCTTTGAGTAAGCAGCATTGGTAATGGTGCTTTATCGCAGCATAGAAAAGTAACTTCTACACAAGTTCAAGGAATATTTGGAAACCAGGGAGTCTTTCTTCTTATGAACTGGACAGTTGAAACACAAGTGAAGGCAGCTGCTTGTTCAGAGGGACAAATCTAATACATACTTGCTTTTGTGCCTCTCTAGTGTTTGATTTCTGATCCTAGGCCTTTTCATTAGCCATGCACGCCTTCTCCTCAAAGAAAAGATGGCGGTTAAAACCTGCGTTGCATTGGCGAAACTACACGCAGAAGAGTGTGAAACACATGCACAGAGTTGAACCAACAGTGGTGCGGTTTGAGTATGGGAAGTCTCCTCCCGGAGACTCAGGTGTTTTTAGGTTCTATCCCCCGAAGGTGAGATTACATTGGGAGGTTGAGGAATGGAGCCAAGCTGCCAGACAGAGCCATCAGTGCAGGGAGATAGGGTTCTAGCTTGTTTCTGTCTTTCCCTGCACTCCCTGCTTCCTGGTCTGCTGCCAGAGATGGGCTGTACACCCTGAAGTGGAAGATAAAACCCTTCCCCCCTCAAGAATGATGATGCTGTTTTTTTTTGGGGGGGGCGCATATAACAAGGAAAGCTGATAGGAAAGTTTGAGGTGATATCCAAAGAGAAATCAAGGGCTAAGTGAACATCCATTACTTAGATGGGGGATGCAGGGTCGGATATGTGAATAGGAAAGTAAGAGTGTAGAAGCTAGCCTGTGCACAACTTCAGGTCTTCAGGTCTACCACGGCTTGCTACCGGGTGTGAAAATTCGTCATTAATCTCACCTAGCTGCGAACCCTCTGAGCACCAGTAATGACTGGCCAGACCTACTTCCTGATTAAAGCCTGCTCACCAAGATGAAACCCGTATGTGGCATCAATACTGGGTAAAGAACCTATGGATCGATAGGCCCTAGGGAGCAACTACGATTATTCTGTCCAACGGACTTAACTTTGAACCAGCTCCTAACGATTTATTGTTATATCCATAGATTATGATGTCACTCAGCCCTCATGGAGTAGGCTTCTAGCTGCAGTAGATGATTACTACAGAGACCTACCGAGGGTAAAAGACTTCAGAACGCCCATCCTTAAGAGGACATGTGTGCCTTCTCCCCTCCTTCCAAGGCCAGGGATAGTCGGGGAAAGGCTGGAGAGTCAGAGGCAGTAGATAACAAGAACAGCATGCTGCCTTCTGGAGACAGTAATGCAGCTGCACATAGGAACTCAGTAACAGTTGTGACAACGTGCTGAAGACCTGGGCAAACCCAAGCCATTCAAAATGCCAGCGTGGAGGGGGAGGTGGGCATGAAGTCCCATCCCTAACCCAGGAGCTATCAGCAATTTATAGCAGTTTTCTGTTTTTTTTTTTTTTTTGTTTTGTTTTGTTTGTTTGTTTTGTTTTGGACTTTTTGAGGGCCCCGCCACCCAGCTCCCAAGTAAATCACACGTGAAGGCTTATTCTTAGTTATGAGTGCTTGGCCTTAGCTTGGCTTGTTTCTTGCAAGCTTCTCTTAGATTATCCCGACTACCTTTTGCCTCTGGGCTTTTATTTTTCTCTATTTCTGCATACCTTACTTTCACTCTTACTCCATGGCTGGCTGGGCGGCTGTGCGGCTGGGCGGCTGGGCGGCTGCGCGGCTGGGCGACTGGGCAGATGACCCCTGACATCCTCCTCTCCCATTCTTCTAGTGGTCTTGCTCTTCTCTTCCCAGAATTCTCCTTCTGTTTATACTCTCTGCTAGGCCCGCCCATGCTTGCTCCTGCCTCGCTATCGACCACTTAGCTCTTTATTAGACCATCAGGTGTTTTAGATGGGCAAAGACTCACAGCTTCACACAGAGTTAAACAGATGCAGCGTAAACAAAAGTCATACACCTGACACTAATATTCTACCACAGCTTTCACTGAGCGTGCAGCTCCTGTAGCACGTTGTAGTTTTGCTGCATTTTTTTTCTTTTCGTTTTTTTACGAAAGGTCACGAAGACGGAGGGGTAGATCTGGGAAGAGCTGTGGGAGAGGGATGGATATGACGAAAGCACATTGTATGAGAATTTCTAGGAACTAATAAAAAAGAATTCAGTGAAATCCACATACACATTGCACAAGGGTGATAGAGTTGGCATCTTAAAAGTGCAAGCTAGCATGTAGGGGAACACCGGTCCCTGGGCTGCTGCTAGAATTCAGACATCAATGACATACCTTTGGCAAGCTAAGGGCATCATGTGAGGCTGGTGGGGAAAGTCTCCTAAGCTCTTAGCTTACACAACAGGACGAGGAAGAAACCGACCCAAAGCTGTTTTCATTACTGTGCTTGTATCTTTGCCTCTTTCATACACTTGACCTCTTCTCATCAAGTTAGACGCCCCGAGGTGCACGGTTCTCGTAAGAAATGTCCTCTGATGGTTCGTTCATTCGTGTGTTCAAGACTTTAGTCTTGAATGAAATGTTTACAGGTCACGCTTTAAAAGAGATTAGGGCTTGGATTAATCTGTTGATGTATTTGTAATTCACTGGACTTGGGAGGTGCGGGATCTGTGGGTCTGTGAAGAGTTGCCTTTGCTCGGGGCCTGCCTCTGAAGGGTGCACCTTACCCCAGGCCTCTTGCCTCCTTTGCTTTCTGTCTGTCATGAGGTGAGTGGTATCATCTGTCAAGTGGCCCCTCTGGTGTCACATCCTGCCTCACCACAGGTTCACTGCAATGTAGCCAGCTAAGACCAAACGCCAATGTTTTTCTCCAGTGAAACTGTTTATCCAAGTTCTGTCACAGCGATGGGAAGTGACTACTGTCCACGTAGTTAGTCTTGTGTCATTAAAGACTGCGAGGCAACGATGGCATGATGGCTGAAGAAGGGAGGGTGAGAAACGGTGAGGGTTGCGGTTCCTCTACCCTCATCCCCATTTGTGGAGCCGAGTGTGTGTGTACATACATGGGCGTGTGCAGTGACCACACCCGTGGAAGGTAACCAGGTCATTCATCACCCCTCCTAAGTCATTTCTGAGATCACGATTTTATGCACACCAATGGCTTATCTCCACATAGCAGGTACACAGGATGAACTACGTTTGGGTAACTGAATGTTTATATAAATGTATTTTGATTGTGTTCCCATCCCCTCCAAGGTCTGTATATCACGGGCTGAATGTGTGAATCTCTTACCGTCACTGGAAAGGATTGCTCAAAATCTCAGCTAGATGAGGCCTTTAGGTGTAATGCAAATTCGAACTTGGACAAGTCACACAAAAACTGAAATCACTCCACGTGGAAAAATGAAAGCTTTCAAGGCATTTGCCATTTTTATTTCGCGATGCGGTAACGTCATTCACAACGGGCTGTGATGCAGCTGACAGTGTAATGGAGAATATATCTTTCTGGAGGCTATTTATAACTAAACACTAAATAGTTTAATTACAGTGGAAATTCTGTACAATTTAAGGCTTGGCTCTGAACTAGATTGTAAATATGGACCAGATTTGTAAATAAAACATTTTTTTTGTTTTTGTTGTTGTTCAAGTAAAAGAAGAAAAAAAAATCAATGAATAAAGGATACAAGAAAAAGAAAAATAGCAAAGCAAAAGTATTCCGACAGGCCTTCCTGGAGTGAATTTCATAATATTGTAAACTAACAAAAATATAGGTTTTCTTCCTCAAACAATGATAATTTACATAGTGAGGGTTTACTTAGATAATTCTGGGAATCATTCTGGATTGAACAAAGAAGACCAGAGCAAATGTCTAGGAAGGAATTACATTAACGCGCTAAGAATCAGATCTACCTTATAACAAATTTGAGACATAAAGCAAGATTGTTAAGTGTTTCTAGAGGGTCAGAGAGTCATTACTGCTTATGGGTGAGAATAGTAAAACCAGATCAGACAAGGACAAGATTCAAGTCGTTTACTGAATAAAGTTGGCACATCTAATCTGGGGTAAATCTGACACACCGGACCTAGACGGCTGATAGCATTGTAGGGTAATTAACATTTATTTGTAAACATAGAATTTGTCACCTATGGAACTGTGATTCTGTTGAGACTTTGATAATAAACTATGAAAGGCATGAGTTGCTGATGTGTTACATGAGATCACGGTTTACACTGTTGGTTATGAACGTGCAGGTAGAGTTGAAAACAGATATTTTGGTGAAAATTAAAAGTGCGGCTCTTTTGTGATTTTTATCATCGCTTCATGCAGTATTGGTTCAGTGCTTCTCATTCTGATTGCTTTATCATGGGAAGATCTCTCTCTGCCAGTGTCTTTCATTAACGGTCAAGGTCAGTTCTTCTGGAATTTTCCACGGACAGATGCAAGTCAGCTGGGTTAGAAGAGGGAACTCCGCATAGGCTCCGGTTTTTCCTAACGGTGTACATGACTGGGTTCATGTGCAAGCTAAGTTACTCCTGTGGGAAGAAAGATTTTGTTAAGTTTCTCATTTGGAAACATCCGAGTAGCTACAGAAAGTACTGCAGAAGTTTAAAGGCTTATCCCGGCAGACAGCTGTTATGTTCGCAGCATACAATTAGGTCACCCAAGTGGCCGCAGCCCTTTGGAGAAAAGAAAAATCTTCTCTCTCTCTCTTTTATTTCCATCATTCAAGAATCCTGCTGATTTGAATCTGAGTGAATTTGGCATTTACTTTTCTTATTTTAAAAGGAGGCTTTACTCATGAGCCTAAATGCTTCAGGAACGGCTCTGTGCAATCTCTTTTCCACGTCTTATTTTGAGAAGTACACGTGGAAGCAGCTACAGACGCACTCAGCATTCACGGTCCTCCTAGGGATGCGGATGGCCACCTGAGTTCTCGCATGGCAGGTCAGTTACAGGTCAAGGCTGTGCGCACAGAGTCTGCTCAGCATGCTGGCCACAGGGATCAGCAAGGCATGCACTTTTAGGAGGAAAACGGGGCCACAAATCCGCATTTTTGCCTCCCCTTGGGATAAAACAGTATAGGATGGGGGAAAGTCAGTCACAGGACACAGGAAATATGAGACACTCAAAAAGACAGCTAGTGCCCGGCCAGCCTGAAGCACAGACACTGTCTTGGAAGAGCGCACTTCCAAGGGAACGATGCCGCATCATCATGAGCACGGAGGAGGACGGCTCATTTCTCTACAGGCGGGGACACAAACTCGGCTCCTCAGAAGAACCTGCTTTAGTTTTTTTTTTTTTTTTTTATTAGGCCACATGGCAAGTGAAATCAGATTTGATATTTCAAACCTGAGCAAAGAGAAGAAGGCAGCAGAGAGACCAGGCAAGCAGGGGGGCCGCCTTCCCTTCTCCTGTAACTGGCGTGGGTGCACCCGCAAACAGTCCCCTGACTTCTCCACAGCCAGCCCCGCAAATGCCAGAGAGAGGAAAAGGGAGGGGGGGAGTGAGGCCAAGGGTGGGAGGGAAGTGCTTCATGCTGCATGCCGGCCGGCCGAGGCAAGCCTGGAGAGCCAGCGTCACCTCTTACCTCTGGTCAATCCTCTCCATCTTCTGGTGTGATTTCTGTCTCTTTATGGACCACTACTTTGGTCACGGACATGTCGGGGTGCTGCTCTTTGGCCTCTTTAATTGCCTGAGCCAGCGCCTATCCCCAGGAAACCACAGAAGGGCAAAGAGAAAAGGGAGGTGGAACATGCATGAACAGCAGCGAGGTGTAGACTTACGAGCTAAATCTAAAACCACAGTTAAAAAAACCACGAGGTACAGTAAGGGCTCAGCATCACACACTGGAAAGTTAATTCGGAAGCAGTTTCAGAGTACGTCCTGAGCTAGGAAGACTGGCCCTGGGAAATGAAGGGCTGCCCTGTTATCATTTACTTCTCTGTCAACGCATTTACCATCTCACACACGCTACCTGGTCATGGTCGATGTCAGCATCCCCTGTGATGACTATTCGCTTCTCGATCCTCGTCTCTGAAATACCTCCTTTCACAGTCTAAAGGAAACAGGACAGCACCGTGAGTTACTCGCCGGGGTAACGGCAGAGAGCGTCAAAGTCCCACCGTTATTCTCCCAGAACGAAAGGAGCAGTCTACCGTAGGGCATTCGTCATGATCACTTCCAAAAGCAGAGGTCTCTGGGTTTGGCAAACCCAGTCCCTACGAGACCTACTCTATGCCCACCCCAGGGTGAGCATCAAGGATACCAGAGTAAAATCCTCAACAGGAAATAGCACAGGCTGACAAGTTCATGGTAGACGCACACGTTTCGAAGCTCGCTTTTAGTATAACTAGCTTGGCATCTGGTAGGTAAGTGATGAATTCGTTTGTGCAGCCCAACCTGTCAGAGGTTTTGGTGGCCAATGCCCTTCTCCAGAGGTCAAGAGTGATGCGCGTGGGTGTTTGTACCACTTACTTTGGTGATGTGTGTGGTGGTGGTGGTACTCGTGGTTTCGGATGTGATCGTCTGTGCGCTCATTAGCACACCCGGCTCCATGTCTGCCCCAGGATCAACCTAAACAGCGTCAGGGACACACAAAGCACACAGGTGTGGTTGCACGTCCTTCCCAAAGGGCTGTTCCATTCTTTAATTCAGTGCAGTGACTGAGCGAACACAGGCCTCTCCATACAAAGACCCAATCAACCACAGATGGAAAACACTCAAACTATTAGCAGCCAGACTGAATGTGCCCACGTGTTTGCTAAACATCAGAGTACAGCAACCACCAGCGTAGCATTTACATTGTGTAACGTAGTGTAAGTCACCTAGAGGTTATGTAAACTATACCTGAGGATGTCCGCATTATAAGGAAATGTTATACTATCCTAGCCAAGGGATTGGAGCATCCACAGACGAGGGTATACATGGGAAACCTGGAACCCACTTCCTTGGAAGGAAGGAACACGCGTAGACCAAATCAGGTAGAACATAGTAGCTCTAGGAGTAAACTCTAGACAAAGCCACAGGCAAGGAGGGTTAACAAACTGAGACATTAGAAATGTGAGCAGTGGGCGGCCCAGGCCTATTGTTTATTTATTTATTTATTGGTTTTTTGAAGCAGGGTTTCTCTGTAGCCTTGGAGCCTGTCCTGGAACTCTGTAGACCAGGCTGGCCTCGAACTCACAGAGATCCGCCTGCCCCTGCCTCCCGAGTGCTGGGATCAAAGGTGTGCTAGGCCTATTTCTTATCCATAACCGCACACCCAGGTCTGTGAGGGTTTCCCATGTCTAGGTTCCTACAAGCTTTTGTTAAGTCACTGTGGCCCCACAATCGGTAATTCAACCACAGTACAGCACTGTTCTTGACAGAGATGATTTGGATGCTGGATGCTCACAGCCTCTCGGACCGGTACCCTGTAGGAACACGAATGCAGGAAGCCCTAGAGGTGCCAGGTCTCTGGGCTTACCTGTGACGACTCGTACGTGATGGTCTTTGTTTCTGTGTGAACCACTGGCACTTCCTTGGAGGAGATGTCCACTTTCACTCCTGGAGAAACACTGCCCACACTCACGGTCTCCATCTTCACAGTGGATGACTGTGTCAGTGGGGAGCGAGGGGGTAGGGGTCACCGAGGCGTATACACAGTTTGAACTTCCCTCCCTGCTTGGTGTCTTTGCTATTTTCGTTCCCCACAAAAGTTTCCATATTAAGCGAGGAGGTGAAGGCAGGGATCACGACACACAATAAGCCCATGCCAGTCTCCCCGCCAAATTACCCCGTGCTGTTGACATAGGATGTTTGAGGCGAAGGAAACATTTCAAAGGGGATTAAAAGCAACCAGTTCCTTCTCCTTTATCTCATATGCAAATGCTGACAGAGAAAAACCTATAAACGAGCTTTTAAATTAGCAACCGAGGAAGACGAGGCAGGTACCAAGCTGCGGAGAATCTCAGTGAAAGGTGATGAAGAATGACGCTCTGGAAGCTGCGGGGATAAATACTTCCCGGTCCTTCTGGGAAAGTAAGTGGACCAGAAATAGTCGTCAAGCTTTCTTTTAAAAATAGTTATTGTTGTTGTTGTTGTTGTGTGTGTAGGTAAGAGCACAACTTTCAGAACGTGTTTCTCTCCTTCCACTGAGGGCCCCAGGGACTGAACTCAGGCCATCAGGCTTGAGTGACAAACACACACTGTTAGCCATCTTTGTGGCCCTCAGCCTGTCTGACATCTAAGTACTGGCTCGCTGTGTTTTCTGTCGGGTATAATTTCAATGACAGAAACCGCTTCCTGGAACTACACATCATCAGCACTTACTAGTTTTTATGTGTCTATAGGGACGACCCCCCCCCCAAAAAAAAAAACCGACAGGAAACAAGCCTGGAGACCCTTCACTGCAAAGTAAAAGGACAGAGAGGGAGACCGAGGTTTAGCGTTAAGTGCAGCCCCACGTCCTACAACTCTGAATCTCAGGCTATCACCCGAGGTAATAAATAGTAACTACCCTTTACCTCAAAATGAGCTTTTTGTTCCAAAGCCTCAGAAGGGAGCGTTACCGCCACCTGCTCCTCCCCCTGGGAGGCCGTGGCTGGCTCTGCCTGCTTGGGGACAGATTTGTGGGCCTCCTCTCCTCTCTCTTCCTTAGTTGCTTCTGTCACGGAAGAGCCCTCCTTCTCTTTCATACTGTGAGGATCTGCGGGTGTGGCCTCTGCTGAGTCCACGTCGTCCCCCACAGTGTGAGAAGCATCTCCACCGCCTCCCACATTCATCACGCGCCTCTCCTCCACCAACACGGTTTCCTGCACCACCTTCTCAGTGCTGAGGGGCTGGGAGTGTGGCGTGGATTCCACCTCGGTTTCGATGGACTCTGTCTTTGTTTCCCGTTTCTGTATGGGAAGAGTACAGTGTATGAGTGACCTTCCATAAACCAAAACGACGAACTCCCCCGACAAGGCCGCTACCATTACCATGTCCAAGGCCAGCATCGAGAGCTCATATGCATGGGTGCTGATGGCAATGAAACACAAACACACACACACACACACACGCACACACACACGCACACACACGCGCACACACACAGACACGGGGACCTGCACAGCTTTCTCAGAGCATCAACAAAAGAAACAGGATGCAATGAGGTTCACAGGCAGAGAAAGAGAGGGCAGAGACTCCGCTGCACATTCACACTGGCGTTGGATGTACCCTCAGACCCGACGGATGAGACCCGAATGTTTCTAAAGATCAAACGCTATTAAAACCCCCTGATGCCATTGCTTTTCAGTATGGGAAGAACATTCTCAAAGTGCAAGGGAAGGTCCACGGCAGACAGACACATGCAGCAGGACAAAGGGCAGTCACCGGGGACATCTTTTGAGAGATGCAGGAAGGCAACAGGATGCAAAACTCAGACACACACAGCCGGCACGAGCTCACAAAGCCAAGCAAACGGTCAGGGCACACATCCACAAACACCAAGGTCTGGAGGAGGGGACGGCCACCTGCACCCAGCTCTGGGTAGTAGATGAAACCCCTCCTATGAACTCTGTGGGTTTCCGAGCGGACTCTAACAGACTGAGGATCTCCGAGCCATCCATGAGCTTCTCCCCAGAAGACTGTTTAGTCTGAGTGAACAGAGAAACGAGAGTCAAGCACTACAGAGAGGCCCCGGACGCACACATTCGCAGCTTGCTAGACAAAACCGGAGGCACAGGAGAAAGGAAGGAGGAAGGAAGGAGTCCATGTAAGCTTGGAAAGAGGAATGGGCATGGCACAGCAAACTAGGTGACCGCGAGCCCTCGTGTTGCTAAAGCAGAGAGTTATCACGTTCAGGGTGGCGGCGTCCGCTCAAGCCAACCCCTCCAATTGCAAGCCACAGCCGCCTTATCACGAATCTTGGGAACGGGCAGCTAGAAATAAAAAGGGGTGGGGTGGGGGAAGTGTTTTAATGATGACTTTGGGCTGCCATAGTGATTTAATCATGGGAAGAAAGAAAGAAAAAAAAAAAAAAGCTGGGTTCGCTGCTCTCAACATAAAGTCAAGCGGCAAGAGAAACGGAAAAGGTTCAGGGCGGAAGGAGGACCGTTGTAAAGACTGTCATGCTGGAATCTTAAGCTGTGACCGAATGAGAGCCACTGGTTACCACCACTTGGGATGCAGACGACTCAGTGATGTAGTGGGCGGTGGCCACAGTAAAGGCCGGCTCCTGGGAGTACCGCCACTCAGACAGGCTCTTCCTGCGCGGGCCAAAGGGCCCTACCTTCAGCACCTCACATTCGGACAGCAGATGCGGAGTGCTGAACCCGGCGTGCCCAGGCACACCCTCTCCCAGCTTTGGAGCCTTCTGGGCATCCTCTTCCTCGGGGCTTTGCCGCCGAGATTCAGCTTCCTTGATGGGCGCCAGGGATTCTGACAGTCTCCGCTTCGGGGTGTGGGCCTCGGGTCCTCTTCTGGATTTCTCATCAGCCAGGGACTCCAGGACCTCGTATCCCACCAGCACGGGGCCGACCTTCGCGGCCTCCGCTAAGCCTCTCTCTGCCTTCTGCACGCTTTCCAGCGCGGAGGGCTGTGCGACCTTCTCACCCTCTTTAGACTTCCCAGTCATGCTAACAATTCTTCCTGAGACGGTGTCGTAGGATTTGCCCAGCGTGTGCATCTTCTGCGCGCTCTCCTCCTGAAGGTGCATCTCTCTGGCCAAGTCATCGAATCCATGCATGTCAACCATGCTGGACGTTAGCAAGCTGGCTGGGATCTCACCGCTTTTACTGCTCACAGTTACCACCTTGTAAGTCACAATCTTTTTCGAATCACCATCAACTACCTCAGTGGGTATTTTGTCTACAATAACCCAATCCTCTGTGCCCTATATTCAAAATATAAAAGCTAAATTAGAAAAGATGGTGGTATCTTGTTTTTTTAAAAAAGAACTCTTTTAAAAAAAAGGTATAAACTACACTTGGGCATGAATTATGGCTGGAGTCCCTTCTCACCTAAAATCTAATTTCAACACACAAAATATCCTGTGTCGGTGGCGTTGCAATCTCATGTTTCTTTAACTAGGAGCATGTCTTGGCAATGGACTTTATGAGAGACCTATCTGACCTTGCAGTCAGTAGCTTGGTTGCGTTCTATCTTAAGATTGGGTGTTTTATAAGTGAACTATGCGGGTTTAACACGTAGGTACAAGAGGCAGCTTTCCTGTTTGCTGTTACACAGTGCTGCACATACTGGCATTTTCACAGGGAGGTTGAAGGCGTCCTCAACCTCAAAAAAATACTGTTTTCCACGTGTGCAAATTTTATTTCCTTATCTAGGGGAGTCAATTCATGAGCACACTTAGTATCAAGGCAAACTGAGTGAGTGCACCTGTGTTCATGGTATTGTAATGGAATTTCTCCCGATGAGACACTATTGATTGGATCCTTTTATAATAAGACTTAAACTAGAACCGCAGTTCGATGTCTCAGTAATTTCTCACCCGATTGCTTATGTTTTTGGTTGTGAGCCTAGCTTTTAACGGTTGAGCCATCTCTCCAGCCCCTCACACTTTTTTGTTTTTAGCATTAGCTCCAACCAGGCAGAAGAAAGGTAAGAAAACTTGGTCTACAGGAGAGCTAACAGGATGTCCTGGCTAACGTTAACTAGCCTACCAGGTTACAGAAGGAAACAAGACCGAATCTGAGTGGGTGAGCATTTGGTTTTATATCTTAAACCAGGGTAATGTTTTCTATTTATGGTAGCCTGGAAATTTGAATCTAGATACATGTTTATGTTAAGCAGAACAACTGCAGGTTGATCTACATGTTGACACTGGACTTGAAAGAAATGAATTGAAAAAAAAAATAACCTCTAGGGTTGATGGGACAGTTTTCTGGAAAATTATTTGATGAGAAGTAGCCACAGAATCAGCGGAGACGCCTTCCCGAATTTTCTTGATCACACTTGGCTAGTGAGAAAACCAACGTAAGTTCAGAGTGTTCAGAAATCAGTGAAAGTCATTAAGAACAGTAGCGGTCTATAGATGAAAACAGCAAGGAGGGTCAGATTATCCCAAGTAGACCCAGAGCTTCAGTGGTAATTTCTATCATGTCGAAGTCAGGAGCATTACGTAATTAAATACTAGCATACTGAGGAAATAAATCCCCTTCCCCAAATCTAAGCAAAGTAACACACCCACCTTGGCTTTCAACAAGAAAAACTAAAGAAGTAAAAACCAGACTCTCCAGTGGCACTGAATCGTGAAGAAGGATCCCGTGTTTGAGTTTTACCTGAGACTCAAGGAATGGTGAACTTCCTTGCTGTAAAAATACAACTTTCCCAGAAATCTCTCTCTCTTCTTTGATCTGTTTGAATAAAGGGGGTTGGAGAAGAGGGAGTGGACATTTTCCAGAGAGACGAGTTAGGAAGCAAGCACTGTGTATCACCTATGTATCCAGTCACTCACGTTTTCCTTCACTTGATAAGTGATCTAGAAACACTTCAAGTTTTAATAACCATCTCCAAACGGGCAACATTATTTCCTGAAAACGGACGCTCACGCAACTCAGGACATTTTACGTTTGCACACACACAGAGCACACAAGAGTGATAACAAGGTTTCTTGACATTTCACTGGGCTTCCCTCATGGCCCTAATAGCAAGTACTAAAAGAGAATGTGAATAAAATAGCCTTAAAAGTAACGGAAGAAACGCTCACTTCTACTTCTAACAAATATCTAACAAACAGCGCTTGCTGTTTGGTAGTGAAGGAAATGTACACGTGGTTGGTGCATTAGTCATCCGTCCTGGGTAGCTTTAACTGTCAACTGGTGTCATTTGAGAAGGAAAACCTCAGTGGGTGAATCCCCCAGACCAGACTGGCCTGCCTGCAGCTCTATGTGTGTGTGTGTGTGTGGGGGGGGCTGTTGTCTTGACTGTTGATTGTATAGTGATGCCATGCCCTGTGCAGATGCTGCTGGGCTGCATAAGAAAACCAGCTAAGCTTAAGCCTGTCATCGAGTCAGCAACCAACATTGTGAATGTGTTCTGCTTCAAACTCCTGTAGGAGCAGGCATTCCTGCCCTCAAGGATGGACTGTGAACTGTGAGCCAAATAAAACCTTTCCCTCCCCAAGCTGCTTTTGCTCAGAGTGGTTTTTCTTTTTTCTTTTTGTTACTTTTGTTTGTTTGTTTGTTTTTATCACAGTATAGAAAGCAAACTGGAACGCCGTTCACTTGAATAAACCTAGTCGTTTTTGAATAGATGTCTTTGTTGGCCTCGGAGCCAACAAAAGTCTAACTTTATTTGAACTTTTGTAATCTGGTGAGTAGTATTTTGAAGTTAATTTAGACGATCTGAGTGGGAACTTAAAATCAAACCATAGTTTTCTTTAATGTACAGAATCAAGAAACACTGATTTCATCCTCTGAAGTGGGAACCAGCACTTAAGTTTTAAAAGGTTCCTTTGTTACTGCCTTTAGCATTAAAGGGACCTAGTTCCAAACAGTAATCCTGCGGCCACCAGGCCTGTCTCTGCAGAGTTCAGAACTGTGGGTCAATGACAGGAACAGCTAGTGGGATCAGTTTAGAATTAAATTCTATACATTGTCTACTTCCAAACTTAACCAGTGCCTCTACTAACCGAGTGACTATTTGTCTACTTGTCATTCAGTAAGAACAACAATGACTTGGCTTGGGGAGGGCATCTGGGACGTTTTGTGGAACCTACTATAAACTATGACAACACCATTCCCAGATGATTTTTTTTTTTTCTAGCAAGAGGTAAGCAACCCACTTTTGTGAAAGCGAATTAATTCCCATCCTGTTGCAACTCTGGAGGAGGATTGCAAAAGGTAAAAATTTAGAACAAACAATTATTAAATTCAGGTTAAAACAAACACTTTCAGTAACAAGGAAGAGAAGTTAGAGTTATAGGCGCTCTTCCAGAGAAATGATGTTAGACCTCTAATTATAATCATCGAGATAAATGTTATCCCAGAGATAAAAGCCAGGCGCTGGAACAGTGGCTTCCTGGGAATCTTCTGGCTTAAAAAAACTCTTAATTTTAAAAATATGTGCCTGTTACAGGAACCATCAACAGGTCACATTTGAACTGCATACCAACAATGGAAACAACTAACACGGGGCGGGGCAGGGGACAGGGTGGGGGCGGGGATAGGTATAAAATTAAAGTCTATTCGTGGACTGCCTTCCAACACAACAACTGCTTCTATTTAAGGGAGTGATAAGTGACTGACAAATTGAAGCCTCTACACAGTGCCCCTATTACAGCTAAGAATACATTTTTATCTAGTCAGTAAGCATCGCTCTGCAGTATTCTTGGGGATAACACCATACCTATTAGGCCCACTATATTATACAGTAAATATACCTGAGAGTTTAGTGCTCACACGCCACACAGGAAAATATTGTCAACACACAGGCATTAATATTGCTTCTTGGTTGGGATTTGGAAAACTCTGGTATCCAAGTAACCACTAAAGAACACAACTCTAAATGTGCCGTATGCAAGGCCGTTCTGGGAAACATCTGTGCTCAGTGTCACAGAGAACACGTCTCTTTCACATGAACTGAGCTGTCTGTTAATGTTAACAAGAACTTATTTCATTCCCTGATCTGGGGCTGCCTCTGCTTGCTATTCAACTCAAACACTGGAAACCTGAAGTCACTGGCAAGCTAAGTCTGACTTTTTGTACAGTGAACACATGGCATTCTCAGGATATAATCGTTATTAATCCGCTATAAACTTTAGTATTTTTCTAATTGTTCATTAATGATAGCATTTTCAGAAGTATTAGTATTTAATCACTCCAAATATCATTTTCTCACTGAAATTCATTTAAAAAAAAAAGACACCAGAAACCAACTAAGTTGGGGGTCATAAAACTGAGGTTTTTGAATCCGAGTATCTTCCTCATTTAGAAACAAAATAGTATTATTTTATTTGTGATGCAAATTTTAAAAAGTACGATAAATGTGTCTATGTAGACACAACTTGTGTTCTTTTTACACTACATAATTAAAGTGGCCATATCAAATAACAGAGTGATTGATACCAAGCAACTGTAAAATGTCCCCCATTCAAAATAAAACCTATTGCTTATGAGTCTGTGAACCAATATGCTCTGTACATTCCTAGCCGGAGGCTAAAGAGACGGTCTGCTTTTCATAAAGCCAGAAAGAAAAGCCAAGGCCTAAATATAGAAATGGAGATGACTTAGACAATGAGAATGTTTTCTTTGCTCTTATGGCTATCTATAGGGCTTCCAGCTGGGCCATAAACTTGGATGTCACCAACAACTGTTTCACTCTGAAGAACATAAGGGGATGTAGAGTTTGCTCTGCCTGGACCATCTGTCTAGAGAAGCACAGAGTGTGGACCGTGTGTAAACAGCTCTCATCTTTCAGGACCTGAATTACCTACCTAGCTTTTCTGGACACCCCACCCCCACCCCCCGCTGTCCAGCATCCATCATTCTCCAGTTTGCTCTACCCCGATTCTACTCAGAATCCTGAGATTTCATGCATTCATGCCCGCTCTACCCTTCTCCAGTCTGTGGACCTGAGTGGTATTGCCCTTTAACTACAGGAGGGATGTTTCTATTTGGTTACGTTGGAAAGGTCCTTTCTTGGCTGTCTCCATGGTTTGCACTGATGTGGAGAAGGCATGGCCATCCAGGGAAACTTTGGGCTAGTCAAACTACTGCCTCCTTCAGTTATTGGTTCAACAGCGTCCTCTACGATTCGGGAATGAAATGTCTCATCAGTTTTGTGGCTTTGACATTTAAAGACTTCCCGTTTATTAATGTCTCTTACTTCCCAAGTTCTCTTTCAAAAAGGCTATCATCTCCCATTCCTTCAGTGTCTGTATGGGAACGGATGCCAGGGTTCTCTCTTTTTGTTTTCCACTTTGTTTTGCTTTGGTGGCTATTTGTTTTGTGTCTTAATAACGTAAGCCATCCTCTACCGTCTTTAGAGCCAAAACGTTTCCAAAAGAGATCACAGAAATAAAATAATCCAGATTTGAAAATCATAATAAAACTTGTGACATCATAACAGGTAAGTGACATTAAAAATGTGTGTGTGTGTGTGTGTGAGTACATGTACTATGGCGAGTACATGTTGTCAGAGGACAACCTTGGGTTTTAGTTCTTGTGTTCTATTGACCATGTTTGAGGCCGGGTTTCTTCTTGTCCACTGCCGCTTACGCCAACATAGGTGGCCCAGGAGCTTCGGGGGACCCCCTTGTCTCTGCCTCTTTTGGCAGCAAGTATGCTGGGACTCTGGAGGCACACGACCACATCTGACCTCCGGAAATCATTAAACTCTTCTCCTTATGATTGCACAGCAAACGCTTTACTCACTGAGCCATTTCTGTAGTCTGTAGGTGCTATTCCTAATAATGCAAAGGCTACAATGGCTCAGCCACACTGAATGCTAAGTTTTGTCTCCCGATACCCAAGCAGTTTGAGTGCAACTAGTGTTTAACGGTGCAGGGAGACTTGTGCAACGACACTTTTATTCATTCTGCCTAGAAAAGAACACTTTAGAAGTAGCTCAAATGGGTACCCAACTCTTCCCTTTTCAGCTGGGATGTGGTTGTCATGAACGTAGTGAGAATGATATGCTTGCACTTTTGATGAACAGCTTTCAAAGGACGGTGAGCAATGGGTGCAATTCGATTTCTTATTTTCTCGGCAAGGGCTTCAGTATCGTATGTATACCACCACTACCATTTAAAGGATTTCTCTCACACAACAGTTGTGGAGTTTTGATGCTCTATTCTCTCACGGCTTCTTGGGCAAATGTCTCACACTGAAAGGCTCTTGATAAGGAAGCTAATGAATACAGTGCTGTAAAGATGCAATTTCCCGAAACTATTTATTCTGAAGGACAGAGCTAGCAGGGTGCTCTCTGATGAGTGATCAAATGGCCACTACACCCACGGAGTGGGAGCCTTGAGGTGACCCTGGCTGTCCTTACATGGAAAAGTCTTACTGAAAAAGGGATGTCTGCCATCTGCTTTTCTCATTCAATAACATAAAAAAAAAAAAAAAAAAAAAAAGCGAACACTGACTTAGAATTAGTTAAAATAACCAGGTGTAATAAAATAAAAATAATTAAACAAAAGCCCGTTATTATATGCCCGGGTGTTTATCTGTGCTGAAATGTCGTCAACTTCTGATCCCCATTTAAACATCAGACAATCGTATCAGGGCTCATTTTCCAATTATAAACAAGTTTTCTAAGGGCATTTCTCAATGCAGGAGAAGAAAGTGTGATTCACTTCTCTCAGGTAGAAAACTGATATTAAAGATAAGATTCAGGCTATATGCCTGCCTGAGTCTCCCTGTTCTTGCCTGGGCGTGGTCATTCTTAGCACCATCTGATGCTGAGACCCGCCCTTCATCCACCTGCTCTGTTCACCTGGCGGGTACGGGGTAAGCCGTACCACTGTGCAGAAGACAGTCTGCTCACAGCCTGAACACTGACCTCCTCAGGTACCAGTGGCTCAATCATGGGAGCATCCTCCTGCCTGGCAGCCAGCCTCACGGGGGACGTGGAAAGCCTCTTTTCCCACTCGTTTGTTAAGGCAGTTTCTGTAGAGGTTTCCAAGAAGGTTCTTTTCAGCTCGCTAATGTTGGTCTGATGCTTCATCAGTTCGTCTTGAGTTTTGTCTAGCTCCTGTGGTCAGAGCGAGAAGATCCCAACAGTCAACCTTTCACAGTGATTTCCTATACCCGGACACCCCTCTTTTTAAAAACATACCAAACACGTTAGTAGTCAAAAGGGAACTGAATTTGGATCGGGGTTCAAGACACTACTACCACAAGCACTCTAGTGGAAATGTAGGATTTCCAGGAGAAGAGAAAAAAAAATAATTTAGTTTTACACTGCATACCAAAACAAACAAACAAACAAACACAAGTTAAAGGCAGATTCTAAGGAGTGACATTTACAAGTAACCAGAGGGACAAAACAAATACACGCACAGGGAAAGGTGTCTATGTCTAGGATTAAGTGGAGAAGGCGTCCCCCGTCACTAACAGCTGAGCACACAGTTCATGCGTCATGGTTCAAGTCCACAGGTATGCCACGGAAGGAGGAAGAACACACAGAAGCATGCACTGGTGCACACCAATACCAACCTCTAACATAAGATTACTATGTTTGACATACACATTTTCACCCTTTATTCGCTTAACCAGACTATTCTGAAAAAAGTGGAGAAGAGAGGCAAAAGGTAAGGGAAACAGTACTCAGGGGAAGAAATGCCACTCTACACGCCGCCGGCATGGTAACCGAGAGGGGACATGCGGAAAACGCCGGTCGCCTGAACACGGCAGACAAACAATGACATGTCACGCGCTGGTCTGGGGTGTCTTTACTTTTGTACCTGTGCCTTGAGCTCTGCATCTTCCTCCTGGTCCGACTGGCAGCATGGGAAAGAGTGGGAGACACAGACTTAACCAAGTGGTTTACTCTATGGTTGGAGACCCGTGGTCTATACACACTCGCACACTCGCTGGCTCTGAGTACCATTGCACACTTGCTGGTGGTGCACTCAGAAGCAGCACTTTCTTAGACACAAAGCGCAGCTCTCTCTCTCTCACACGCACACACACGCACACGCACGCGCACGCCAAAATGATATGAGAACTAAGTGGTTCTCTGGCATTTCAAGAGGCAGATGCATGCATGAGCTTTGAGAAGGGACATCAGGGGTGGGCAGGTCGTCCTTACAGAGCATTAGCGAAGGGTTGGGAGTCTGGTATTTGGGGACTCAGTTCACAGTTCCCCAGAACGGCTATCGTTACGGGAAAAACGACAGCCCCTCGATAGGCAAGACCTCACCGTGATTACATGTCTGTCTGTCAGCCCTCGTAACTTCCAGTTTGTAGATCCCAGACCGGCAGCTCAAAGAGCTATTAATCCGTAGCCCCCTGCCTTTTGAAACAGCGCCGGAGCCTTGCATGCCTTACACTTCCACACGGTTTTCTAATTATTATTAGTTTTTATTTTTGTGTATGACCGTTTTGCCTGCATGTAGGTCTGTGCCTGGTGCCTGCAGAGCTAGAAAGAGGGTGTCAGATCCTCTGGAACTGCTGACTCAGGCAGCCACGTGAGTCCTGTGGAAGAGCAGCCAGTGCTCTTTGCCACTGCCCTCTCTCCAGCCCCTCTGTGTTGTTGAGACGAGAGCACCCACTTCAGCCTATACAGCAGGTATGAACCGCTGCACCCAGCAGAGCCTTTATGCTTAGAACGAGTTTTAGAGGGAAGATGGCGGTACAGGATGAGGAAGTATAAACAAAATCAGCCACCACCGTCGGCAACACTACTGTGTCTTCCTTTAAAATTGAACAGGGCGATTTTTCTTTTTTGAATTTTACAAAAACATCACAGTCCATTCATTGCTCTTCCCTCTCCAGTTTTAAGGGCCCATACATATATACACATACTACATACACACGCTCATATATACGTATACACTCACATAACATATATACATACACATACTCGTGTAGATATACACATGAACATATATACACACTCACATATACATATATATACACACACACGTGTATACACACACACACACACACACACACACACACACGTACATCAGTTTTCCACTGTTGGGATTACAGGTATGGACAGACACGCCTTAGCTGGTCTCAGATTTCCTATCAGTGTATGGGGACCACGGTGCTTTCTCTGCACACCCCATAACGCCGTCACGCTGGCGACACGAAGGGAAGGGCATGTGCACACAAGGGAAACAGACATGACGCCAATCCAGTACTGGGGACGCGCTGATTCTTATGTATGCGTTGAGTCACAGCTCTTTACTTCACCTTTCGGTTTCACAGAGTACAAGACTACACAGGGTACTCACTTGCTTTAGTGGTGCGTAACAAACTCAATAAGTGCTGTAGAGATTTAAGGCACTGTTGTTGAATGACTGCTTATTTCTACTACAGATGGGGCTTTGATGTCACCTACTGGATGTATCTACAGCCGCATGCCATCTACTGCGTGTACTAGCCTGTGACAACCGCACACTATCTACCGAATGTGCTAGTCTGTGGCTACTTACAACTATCTCTTAAAAGTCAAGGTGCAGTTTTGTTTGGCAAAGAAAATGATGAACCTGTCCACTCACTTAGCTGTGGCTGCTGAAGAGAACCTGGAAAATGGCATTATGCTATTGCCTTTCTGCAAAACTGTCACAACTTATATCCTGCAGCATTCCCAAACGGAGAACCCACCAGAAAGTAACGTCTTTACCCTCACCTCGGTGGCACTGGTCTCTCCGTCGCCTGCGGTGTCTGTCCGTTCGCTGTCAGTCTGTGGATCACAGAGGAGAAATCCGAGGAGGAAGCAGGGACAGAAAACAAACCCGTCTGGTCAAACAGGGCACATGCTGCCGGAACCATCCCTGTCCTTTCTCTGGGGTCTGTGGCATCCTACCTCCCCACAGGAGTATGAGTATGAGCAAAGCAAAAAGGAGGCAGGGCTCGGGGTCTTCAGCGGAGCCCCTCCGAGGCCAAGACCCGAGGCACGCACGCAGTGGCCACCCTGACCTGTGTGCATTTACATTTTAGGACATCAATTTGCCAGCCCCTCCCCTTTTCCACCGATGCCCCTAAAAGCTCCCCTAAAAATGCTTAACACAAATCAAATGAAATGGAGGTTCGTGTGTGTGTGTGTGTGTGTGTGTGTGTGTGTGTGTGTGTGTGTATATATATATATATATATATATATATATATATATATTTTACTCTAGTAATGCCACGTCAGAAAAGTGAATGAATTTAGACCGATGCTAACAGCTACTCTAACAGTCACTGGGCTTTCAGCCCCTCACTCATATACCACTGGATCGTTTACACCCACTATGACCACCAGGATGCCTGTATTACCCATTAATGATTAGAGCATACACTGGTGATTCACGGGTATCTATTTTATGCAGGAAAAAAAAATCAACAACATGATTTTCAAATAGCACATGCTAGTGGGTAACAGCTCTGATGTTCACTTTGCCCCACTCTCTAACAGGAAGGGTAATAGTCAAGTATGCATTAAAACATCTCATTGCAAAAGTACCATTCAAACGATGATGATGACGGTAATAATAATAATTGGAAAAATAGAGAGAGAGAGAGACATCTACTTAGAGATGAGTCAAACAAAGCACAGCATTCGATAGAACTAGGGTTTCTTTTGGGGGGGGATGAGAAGAGCCCATTTCAGGCAGGGTTCACTTTTAACGTCTATGTGTTTTAATGTGTTTATAGGGGTTTACGGCTTAAGACAAGAATTAAGTACTGATTGATGACACACCATCAACACAAACTGACTTCACCCATAAATTCCAACCAACCATTAGTACTTTTCCCTCAGCCAAAGCCTTGCGAGCATGCGTCTGAATGTGACGCTCTAGAGTTGTGGGGTATTCACAATGGCGGCCGAGACTGCTGCTTATCTCTCTTGGTCTATCTCCGGCCAGGACTGTGCCAAACTTTGTTTTTACATATTCCTAAAGCAAAAGCAGTTGAGTTTGCACACTTGGCAAGCATGCCTGAGAATGGAGGGGGAAATTCAGTAGATTTTTTTTTTCTCATGACCTGATTAGCTCAGGTTTAAAAAGTGTGGCAGGGGTGTCTACTAATTCTTCTAGGAGTAAGGCGTGGCCGTCGTAATGCCACGGCCTCAACAAATGAGATCCAGGAGGAACAATGATTTGGATTAGTACAAAAGACAGAATAACCTAAAGATGTTTTAGGCCTCCAAGAAAATAAAAATTATGTGCTTGGTATCTTTCTTTTTTTTTTATAACTTATTTCATGTACATTGGTGTGAAGGTGTCAGATCCCCTGGAACTGGAGTTACAGATGGTCGTGAGCAGCCATGTGGATGCTGGGAATTGAACTCAGGACCTCTGGAAGAGCAGCCACTGCTCTTAACCACTGAGCCACCTGTCCAGCCCTCATGTTTGGTATCTTAATTAGCTGTGTCAAACACATCTAATGTGGTTGAGGACATTCTCTTCCTGCTTTAAGAAGTCTCCTTACAATTCTAAAATTGACTTCATGAACTCTCCAACATCTTAGCATTGGAGTTCAGCTGTAGGTCAGAGTAAGGAGTCTGATATCAGATTAAATATGTTCAAATCCTTGCTTTTCAAACTTGTGCTACACTACACATATCTCATAGTTTAACCCATTTTCTCCTGGGAAAAATGGAGATAACAGCTGTGTCTATACGCATAAGGGTTATTAAGTGCTTTATGGAATTCTGCCACACAGATCCACAAGTCGCCAGTGATAACTGAAATACAATACATTGTTAGATATTACTCTGATTTTCCTAGGTATCAAATGTTGTTGGCCACATCTAAACTCCCTCAGAACCCGGGTGCAGGGCACATGCCTGGAATGAGTCACGGGGGCCAAAACCAGGACCCAAGTGGCCAATGTGACCCGATCCTATATTTTAAAAACTCATCCGATGACTCCTTGAAATTCCTGCTTTACAGCCTAATCTATCAACAAGAAAATAATAGTAATTTAACACAGCAGTTTTGAAAGCAGCTGCTATTTATACTGTATATTAATATACAGTATGTACCTGTGACTACACTATGCGAAAGGCTAGCATGTATTATTATTATTGTATAGTACCTATCTTCACATGATTTAAAGACGAATCAGTTGGTGGGTTCATTTTTCTCACACATTTGAGTAAATCTCCCTTTCCTTTGCGTTACAAAAAGTTACCCAGGGGCGAGTATGCGATTGCATCCTTTGTTATGGAAGACTAACTTCATCTTAGTGTTTCACAGAAGGTGATTTGATATTCGGCCTCTTGTCTGGTCGTTCTGAGAGCACAGCAGAAACTCTGCTGGGCCAATTGCTTTACCGTTTGAAATGATTAAGTGTTTGCGTGCTGGCTCTCTGCAACCCAAGGACAAAAAAGTAAAAACAGGTCCCTGTCATTAGTGATACTGCAAAGCGAAAGCGGCAGAGATGGATTGCACTTTGAGAGGTCGCCCAGTTGAGCCTGCCGGGGCACTTGAGGCCTACAGAATAAAATAAGCCCTGTATGCAAACGCAAATGGCATTTTAAGAAATGGGATGACCCAAATATGTGTTCTCTAGCTTGAGATGAGGTGGAGCGTGGGGCTCTTCACACCTGGGGTTAAGAGTCAACACCAAACAGAGGTGGCCAAATCCACAGCCTGGCGCCAGGAGCGCTGTAATGGGCCAGAGGAGACTGGCGAAGAGGGGACTAGTGGTCAGCGCTGACTCAGCATCCGAGTCTGCAATGCCGAGGGCATCGTGGCCTGGGAGAGTTAAAAAAGGGGCTGCTGTGATTTGCTTTGCTGATGTCATGCAGACATGACCAAGTTTAATGCTAGTTCTCATGCACTGACTCCAATGAGATGTAAACCCTGGATTAGGCACAAGATCTGTGTGGTTAGCACTGGAACACCTCAAACAGCAATTCAGAATTTAGAGAAGCAAATAAAGCAGGAAACCATTTTTTTTCCCCGTGTGTGGGGAGGGGATTCATGTGAGCACTGGGAATTATTCCTCCGCTAAAAGCAAAAGAAGTTTTTTTTAGGAAGCTACCATGGGTCTTGACTGCGGCAGGCTCCAGTCTGAGAATCTTGTATTAAAAGCCTACGATTTAAAGTGGTTCCCAAAGTCTGCTGTGGCAGAAACACTGTAATCTCGTTAGGCATACACGCTAAGAACCCAAAGGGCTCTCTGGCAGTATTGAATAGAAAACCCTAGACTCCCCTGTTAGGCGCCTTTGAGATCATTCACATCTCTCCCCATTGCTGCTCAGAAACAGGCACTACACCTGTAAATACAGGCCCCAGCACGTGTCAGTAGAGCTACACACTAACAGGGGCCGGTCAAATCAGGACTTTCTACCTGAGCCCGGAACTGAGTATGCGTCCTTTGCTTTTTTTTTTTAAAAAGTGCTGCCTTGACTGTTTTCTTCTAAGACAAGGAGTCCTGGGCTTGTCTCCTGTGTGCTTTGTGGGAGGAGGAGAACTCGGGGTTCCTAGGGAGAGGTGCAGGAGGGTGAGGACATGGCAGCCAGCCAGCGCCTCTGGGGGTCAGCTTCTATTCCTTTCCCTGCGCTCTGGTTGAATGGCTTGAAAAGGGGAGCCGCTGTGCTATCCGCGTGGCCATGGAACAAGGTGGCTAGACTCACCTAGAGACTGGGATGAGGGAGATGGACAGGTCTGAACACACTCAGATCCCTCTCCCTTTATAAGAATACCTGCCCAAGGGCCAGAGACACCAAGCCCATTCCCCAGCTGTATCACACTACAAAACGTGGACAGACATTCAGGTCCTATGCTGCTGTCTGTCATAGTTTAGCCAGCATAAGACGGGGGGGGGGTGGGGGGGGAGGAGGGAGGACCTCAAATAATTGTTGTCCTGATGTTTTCTGGACACCACAGTACTACATATGTGGTTCTCTATGGTCCTGCTTCTGGCTGTACCAATGAGTGACGCCATGTGGGTATCACAAACTGCTGTAGGTATGCCTTCTGTCAACAATGGGCAGTTTTATCTAACAGGACCCTGGAAACATTTTGGATCCTTGGGTGTGGGCCAGGGAGGGTCGGGGGGGGGGGCAATTTTGGAAAGCTACTTGAACACGATGATATTTAACCTTTAGCATATAACCACTTGGCCAGTCCATCTGTATTCACATCTTACTTCAGTTGCAAGCTATTTTATTTATCTGCACTATATGAGCAGATTTAATTTACTAGATGACAACTGGACAGACTCCGTAACGAAGACACAGCCCTTCTGCAGTGAATGAGCTGTTTGAAACTGAGTTCCGGCTGAGTCCTTAGCCCACGCAGAACTCGGTGGATAGCAGAACGATTACAGTTGGCTACAGACCGCTATGTCCACAGTGTTGTGCCTAACCCTGGGGCCTGGCTTGGACTCCCCGACACGAAAACCCTCAACATAGTGGCACAGACAGTTAATGAGGCTCTGAAAGTAGGACCTCTAAGGCAGCAGCCAGCTAACACTGGTTGGGACTGAAGCAGGGAACACACAGGGAAAGTGTGCTCTATGCTGAGGTACACACCTCTTCCTCTGAACTGTCACTCGGGTCATTGTCTAGGGAGGCGCTCAAGGAGGCCGCCTTGGGCTCCAGGTAGCAGAGGCACAGAGCCAGAGGGAAGGAGAGAGTGAGGGCGTATGGTACAGAGAAGGAGGCAGACAGCAGGAAGAAGAAGATGAAGAGGAAGCAAGGCAGGAGGGAGGGTGAGCGGATGGGCAGGAAGTGCTGCCAGCTCTGGGGCAGGAGGTTGGTTTCAGACAGGCTGGGGAAGGAGAGGTACCCGTCCTCGTCTAGGAGAGAGGGGAATGACCCGGGGAGCTGCAAGGAGAAGGAGAACAGTGTGGCTCCTTTGCCGCCGCCGCCGCTCTGCTGCCTGCAACTAAATGGCGCATCTTGGTCCCCTTTGTGAGCCTTCCCCTGGCCTTCACACTCCAAGGCTGGCTCGGCTCTGGGCAGCACGGAACCCGTGAAGGGGCTCTCCTTCTCCTTACACCTCCTGCGGAGCTCTGCGGGAGATGCCGGGTGCTGCGGATGGGCTGATGGGGGGCACAAGGGACATGGGTCGTCAGCAGCAGCCGCTGCGGCGGCGCCGCCACGCCCGGGTGACTGATGCGAAGGGGACACGGAGGGAGACGGGAAGCGGTGAGCATGGATGCAAAAAGACAAAAAGAAAAGTACGATTAGTCAACTTTCTCGTGGGCATCGGCACAAAACCGTGAAGCAAGAGTTTTAGAGTCCTCGTCGTCGCTGCTTGGCAGCCACACTGAGGAGGACTAGGGCTCTCCCGGGAGACCATCACACACGGGCAGGGACCTTGTCAAAAGGCAGAACAGAGGTTGCCCTGAGGAATCCCGCATAGACATGCCTGAGGGCGCACAGCCCTAATAAATGAAAATCAAGGCTTTCAACAGCACCCCCTCCTGGTTTCCAGGTAACAGACCCGGTGCCCACAGCACAGCTGGGCTCAAAAATAAAATGAAATACAATTCAAAGTCTGATGGAGTTAAAAATAGTTTCTGGCCCCGCTCCTGTCTGATTTGAGCGATAACAGTTACAGATGCCTAATACGGGCAGCAGCTGTGAGCAGTCCAGGACTCTCTGGCTCCCACAGACAGGGGAAACTCCTCTGGTTCATAACTTCTGGCTTTTTATTTGGGTGGCTGAACAAGACTTTACTAGTTAGTGGTTTAAGGAAGTGGACGAGCCAAAAGAAAAGTTTTCTTTTCTTGAACATGGTTCCTATGTGTTTGGTTTCTGCTACATATGGTCTACATTTAATGGAAGGTTGTAATTTCTCAGCCTCGCCTCTGGATTCCCTAAACATTCCTAAACATAAAGGATAATGTTTACAGCTGAGGTCTGAATCCTTCACACAATTGATAAAGCATGCATACATGCTCCCGCTTTTGTGAGATTGGATAATCGATGCCACTTTCTGGAACCCTGGAAGTCTTAGTGGCCAAAGCCAGAAGCGAGGAGTCCCTGAGCAGGCTGGGGCAAAGCCCCAGGAGGTTATATACCAGGGAAAATTCAAGGCCAGGGTATGTGGAGCTTGACATAGGCTTCTTCAGCTGCTCTGCCTGCCGTGTGTGTGTGTGTGTGTGTGTGTGTGTGTGTGTGTGTGTGTGTGCTACCTAGCAGCTTGAGAGCATGAAAATTACTCAGCCTGCTTGGTGGTGGTTATCCAATCCTGACTCAGAGAGAAGCGATTAAATGTAGCAACAAAGGGGGAAGAAAATGCACAAATAAAACCACATCCGAGGCTTGAGGGATGGATGGAGTCACTGCCCAGGTAGAAGCTTATCAGGATGTGCCAGCCTTTGAAATGATTCTCGGATACTCGCGCTTGACATTGAACATTGCATCCCAAACAGGAGTCTGCACAAGCCTCACACAGCTAAGAACAATGCAGATGTTACCAGCGGCCCCCTTCAGGAAGGCCACTGTCCCTAGGCAGCTAGACACTGCCCTGGCCATTGGTCATAGCAACAGGCCCCTCCCCAGGTAGCCTGGCAAACAGTCTCTTAGACATTATTTCTGGCAGTGCATGCTCATTTTGGTTAAAAAATAAGCAGCGTCCATGTAGCTTTTGAAGATGGAAAAGAGTAAGATTATGGTTCAGTCTCCTGTGCCGTGTATTAGAGTGTGTTTGGATAGTCAGCTATGCATTGGGGAAATGTAGATAGCCAGCACCCCGTCAGAGCTCAGCTACAGCCTTCCAGAGGGCTCTGTGGAAACGCCACCTTCCCCAGGGACTGGGGTTACTATGGTAGCTTTCTACTTCCTTCTGTTTCCTCCAGCCATGGCACAGAGTAAGATGGAACGAAGCTGCTTCTTCCTACATGTCTAGGTCAGAGGATGGTCTCTCAAAAACAAAATAAAAGGAGAAAACCTGGACCTACTTTGGGAGCAAACATAAAAATCCTTTCTATTTGTCTGCCATTCACGTGCAGTTTCACAGCCACGAGAATCATTTGTAGGCACCGATAATTTCAGGAGAATTGGAAGCAACCAGGGATAAGAACCTTCCATGTTTGCATTCCAGGTGGATTTACCCCTCCCCCATTTCCCAGCTATAAGATCTGACATTGGTTTAAGCTATGAGGAGAATGTAAAAGCCAAATTAGAACGAAGCACATTTGGACAGCAGAAGTGACCCAAAGGCCAGGTCATCATTTTCGATTCTGTGCTGACTGTGTGTGTGTGTTCGGAAAACAAAGACCCTGTCCCTAATAGGAAAAGCAGAACAGTAGACTGGGTGATTTGGAGTATTTTCATCTACTATAGAAAGCGTTTATTTGTTCAGTTTAGGTATTGGGTATTAAACTAAGGGTCCACACACGCTAGGCCAGCCCCTTATCACTAAGCCACATTCTTAGAAATGGAAGCTGACATCATTCATCCGATGCACTAACTACTTGGCTAAGAGGCTGTTGAACTCATATGGGAAGAAGGCCCCATGCAGCCCCATACACTGTTTTTTCAAGAACATTCCTATGCCACAAAGCACCGGGGAATTAAATGAACTGCATTTTGGGATAACGCAGAGGCTGTAAGAGGGTTCATTTCCCTGCCTCCAGTGCGCCCTGTACATTACAGGGGTCATTGGAAATGAATCTGAAACTAAAAACTAAAACTTATGGAATCTAATTCGGGGGAGTGACATCATGACGTGCAATGAATGAAAATTGATATTATGTCAAATCCACTTTTCTTCTCCACTGCAGCAGATCAATGCTTTGCAGATTACAGTTAGAAGACTAAGAGATTAGACATAAACACCCAGGCTACAGTCACTGAGTGTACATGTCATCAGAAAAAAAGGGAGACCTGTTTCCTGAATAGCCAAGGAAGCATACCATACTGGGAAGGAGAACGGGGCCAGAAACAGACAATAGCATTGGTAACAGTTGTAAAATTTGAGTCCAATTAGAAAAAAAAAATACTGTGCCATCTAAAGTATTTTTAAAGAGATCCACCAAGAACAGCTGTTGAAAGTCTTGTAAAGCACATTCCTTGTTAAAACTTCCCCAAAAGTTAAGAAAACAACTTTAAGAGAATATGCTGAAATAATAATAATAATAATAATAATAATAATAATAATAATAATAATGTAGTAAAACCCGACATGAGCATGACCAGTGTGGGAGTTGGGATGCCTCCTTCACCTTGGTACTTCTGGTCTACCTTCTCAGAACCACTGAGCCGTTAGTAAAGGCAAGGACAGCTCTAGGAGGCAGCCGGGAGCTGTACCTTTCCCTCGTGCCGCAGGGCGGTGACAGGGGTGGCTTCCTCGCCCTTCGTCCTTCTGTCCTCTTCCTCACCAGGCTCCTCTTCGGCCTTTTTCTCCGGAGTCACACTGGTGATCAAGTTGGTCTGAGAGATGCCCTTTGTTGTGGCGTACTGGCCTGTGCCAACCTCTGCAGCAGACATAGAGTCCTTCATGTATATTTCATGGTTCTCATTCACTGATGCTATAAGCAAATATAACCGGGGAAATAAAATCCCAAACAGTTGAGTCAGAATAGAGAACAGCAACGCCACACTGTACCTTTACTAGGAGAAAAACACCAGTATAAAACATCAGACTGCGGGGGTGGGATGGGAGGGAAAGGGAACTGGGATTGATATATAAAACAAGACTGTTTCTAATTTAAATAAAATTAAAATAAAAAAACCCACATCAGGCCAGTTTGCACAGGGCTGAGGAGAGCTATGGGGACTTTTATCCAAGCAATGTCTCTCTGCATCACCTGAAGCAGCGCTTTAAAATGATTTAAATATCCATGTCTTGAACCCCAGATAATGCTTAGCATTCACATATCTCCAGTGAGGAAGGAGGGGCAGCCCAGGAGCACTGGCTGGGCATTCGCACCAAATTCATAGTAAGCTCAAGAATTCCCGGCAGCATTTGCATCAAATCCTCTAACCGCTTGACTTTGAGCATATCCACACAAGTGGCATCCACTAAAGGAGCAATGGAATTATTTCTATTGTTTCCCAATGTTGAAAAGTTCATCGACACAAAGGCTCAAAGCATAGTGACGAGATTTAATAATTTGGCAGAGATTATGAAATTTAGAAGGGGCATCCGTCTCAACTGATGTAAGGAAATGTTTCAGTCTCCATTGCACTTGAAACACAATGCCACATGGATATGCCCACACATTCCTTCTCATCTCTACTATTTGGGGAAAACAAGACAAATGTTGCTAGCAAGCAAAACCCATGCAGAGGCAGACCGTGTGAGCACAGTGCTGTGAGGTTCAGCTCCGCAGCCCAGCTAGACCCACGCAGAGGCAGACCGTGTTAGCTTAGGGATGTGAGGGTAAGCCCCTCATCCCAGCTGTTGTCTTAGTAAAAGATGCTGCATTTAGTCTAATGTTTCATTCTGATCAAGTTTAAAGTTTGCCAGTCATTCTTTTAGGGCTTAGGCATGATGAAAACAAACAAACAAACAAACAAACAAAAAACACTGAAATTTGTAAACACATCTTTTCAAATATCCCTCTGCTGATCACAGGCAAAGATACGACCTGAATTCACACCAACAAAAAGAAAACAAAAGGAGTCTAAATGAAATCTTTCACTAAGATATTCTTTGCCTCTCTGTGGTGATGATGAAAAGCTTATGAGACTTTTTTTTTTTTTTTTTTTTTTTTGCAGCCAGTTACACTGTTATATGCAGGCTGCTGTCTTGCCAAAAGCAGTTTAATGTTCCAACGTGCAGGCGTGGCAGCCGGTTGCGGAGCGGGAAACATACTAGAACTGGCAGGACAAGGAGTGAGACAACACATACTAACATCACTGCTGGGCAGAAAGGAAGAGACAGCGTGCTATTAGTACACTGATTTCACGATTGTCTTCTGTTTTCACACAAAGACCATGAGGAAAGCAACCCCGACAACTACATTCCCTCGGGCGCCCGCCATTGAGCAAAGTAGGTGGCGTTCAGCGGGTAGAAAGGCACGAGACTCTACAGAACTTCCTCAAATATTGACTTAGAGAGCATACAAATGGTTAGCAGAGAGTTTCTAAAGAGCGGAAAGAAAAGCTCGGCGTTGACACGGAGATCTTCATGTCTTAATTCAACTGCAAATGGTCTTGGGTCTAGGAATAAGGAAAGATGCAGAAGGGCAGCATCCTCTCTTGGCATCTACTGTGGCGTGTCTCTGAATATTTAATCTGTAGACGCTTGAGTCCCTTACAGAGCACGGCACGCTTCTCACATACAATCTGTGCGCATCTGCCTGTAGTGTTTACTCCATCTCTACTGTTTTTTAATATCTAACACTATGTAAATAATGTGCAAGTAGTTATCACATTGTACTGTTTAGAGAAAGATAAAAGAAAACAGTCTTCGTGTATTCAGTATGGATGTGATTTTTGTTTAAAGGGGGGAAGAAACGTTAGAAGTGTTGCAGTTATCTATCAATTATCCGTATGCCTGTCTATCATTATCTGTCAGCTGGGGACAGAACTCAACCTGGGATCCTGGAGTTGCTCGTATATTCCACCCACATTTTCAGTCTATATTTGGTTGACTGTAGAGTCAGAACCTTCAAATAAGAAGGCTGTTTGTAATCAACGTGGCCAGCCTACAAAGCTTTCCCATACATCATCTTTTCTCCTCATAACAATCCCGTTGAAGGTGGTCTTATGTCCATTTTTTATATGACTGAAACAGAAGGCCTGGGCTTTATTATGTGTTTTCCTAGGTACCTAGACTAGTGTTGCTTCTATTTCAGTAGCTACATATATGACACAGCATTCATAGTACCAGCATAGCTGCTTCTTAATCATGGGATGTGGGGAATGGGTTGAGGGGAGCTGAGACCCAGCGAGGAGTAGCAGGGAAATCTAGATGGGTAAAAAGGGCCCCAGGAAGTCTAATTTTTCCCCTTTCACTCAGGCTTACCTATTAAAAGTGTGGACACCTTTCAGAAATGTCTAATTCTTTACTCATCCAGGATGAGTCTTCCCTGGATCAGCCAAGCCATGGCCATGTGCGGAATTAGATACCAGAGCCCTGCCCACAACCAGGTCCTAAGCCTCACCAATGCTGTCAAACTCTGGAGCATGAAGCATAGGTTCTGCTGTGAAGGACCAATTCACACACAGTAGACAAACCACCCCTACTGACAACTCTGGATCATGCTCTTCCCTTTGTGAGTTGCTGGATCATCTCTGGCTGTCTGTGTTCGACTAGACAGCAGACAGGGTCATTCACCACAGAGATGCTCTCTCCCACCTATCACAAGCAGACAGATAACATCCTCTTTAACTTTTAGAGATGTATTTAACACGTAGTTTTCTTCCTGTTAACCCCCGAAGATCTGCCTAGAATAGAACTTAACTCTAGAATGTGCCAGTCCTACATTTAGAGTGAAGATGTCTTCCCCCAGGCCCTGTCTGTTAAAGACAAGATCCTCACCCTCCAAGTACCAACATATTCCAACATGAGCTCACGATAAAACAGACTGGACATGGATAATGTTTTAATGGAGAATGTTTAAAACCTGCCATTCATCTGCTCAGATTTACTCTCAGAGTGCGTTATTTCTCAGAGTACGAGGGGATAAACTCTGTTTGCTCAAAGCTCATGGTCATTTCACATGCCCTGCTGTAGAGTTACAGAGAACCAGTTAGTAATGCCTACCTCCATCCAAGCTGCGAGACATGGTGTAACGTTTGCTGGAGGAGCGCTCGAAGTAAGGCGCTGGGCGGTCTATCAATGCGCTGGCTCTTCTCGTTTGCGCCTGAGTTCTGCCACTGTAACGGAACTTGGAGCCCAAGGTCAGGAATTTCTTTGGAGGTGCTTCTGGCAGTAATAGTCTAAAGGCGTTAAAGAAATCGCCAAAAAAGTTAACTCATGCCCAGACAGTGTTTAAAGCTGATTGTATTGCTTTCTGTTCAGCACATGTGTGATTAAATGAATTTGAATTTATAGGAAACATTATCAACACAATATGTATTAACCAGGATGTTACACAAAAGTTGAAGCAAAATGGGGGGGCCAGGCAGAAGAGAGATGAACGTTCAGAGCATATAACTTGGTGGTAGAATGCTTGCCTAGTATGCCAAGGCTTTGGGTTCTATTCCCTAGCACTACAAATAAAAAGAGAAAGACAAAAGAATTATTAAGTTGGGTATGACGGTATATGCCTGTAGTCCTAGCATTTAGGAGCTAGAGGTTCAAGGTCATGTTGGATGATGGCTAGAGTTTCTTACTGGCTAGCTCTGTCTTAATTATTAACCCATTTCTATTAATATAATATTTCTACGTGGTCTTATCTTACTGGAGAAGGTTCCAGACCTGCTATTCCTTTGTGGTCTACATGGCAACTGTTCTTTGGCGGGCTCTCTCTGCCTACCTTTCCCAGAATTCTCCTCATTCTAGTCCTTTCTGCCTCATTGTCTGGATAACATTTTATTTATCAATCAATAAGAGAAACATATACAGAAGGACATCCCCCATCAAGGTCATCCTCAATACACAGTGAGTTGAGTTCAAGGTCAACCTGGGCTAAAGGAGACCTTGTTTCTAACACACACACACACACACACACACACACACACACACACACACACACAGAGAACAGGATACTTAAGACTATGAAATAAAATGACAAAAACACTCAATAATAAAGAAAGGTCAAGAGTGGATAATACAAGATAAATTAAGGAAAATTCTTCTTGAGATTTGTTCTTTTAGGTTTTTTTTTTTTTCTTTTCTTTTTTTTTTTTTTTTTATCAAGAAGCTCAGTGTGAGCTGGATATGGGAGCAGGGGGTTGATGGGGGAGGACTGGGAGCCTCAGGACAGCTTGGAGTACACAGTGAGATTATCTTTAAAAAAAAAAAAAAAAAAGAAAGAAAGAAAGAAAGAAATGGCGTGTGTGCCACACAAGTATGAGAATCCGAGTTCAGGTCCCCAGAGCTCACTTAAACCTGGGTAGGGTGGATCCTGTGATATAAACATGTCTAAAGGGAGATGGCAGTCCAGCCCGGTGTAGACAGCAGTGAACAACAGGGCTTGTCTTAAACGCGGTGTGGGGGGGTGAGGACAGACACCCAAGCTTGTCCTCTGACCTCTATGTGTACAGTGACATGCGTGTGCCTGTGCAACTCTCCTCCCTCCCCAACAGAGGAGGGAGGAGGGAGGGACCAAGAGGAGACACAGTGACCATTGTGGTTAAGGAATAGGAAGGGCCCACGATGTTTTCCTCTACAACTTTCCCCCTGCTACAAGTGGCCCCAACGGTTCAAAATCGGAGTTAGGAAGAAACCCAAGTACTCTCCCCCTACCTGAAAAATGTATGGTGTTCCACACACACTTTCCAGAGGCGTTTGGCAGCGCGGTGGTTCAGCAACTTGAACCCAATGGTGCTTTCAAACTGTTCAAACTGAATGAATGAATGAATGAGTGAATGAATAAACAACACAGGAAAGATTAAAGTTCAGTTCGGTGCTTTATAAATAAAAGCCTTGCAAATAGTCTACAGACCTACAGCCCACCATAACTCCTCTGGTTACCTACCTACAGAGTCGACTGTTACGTGCGGAACTCACACTTTAAAACAATCTTTTATCTATCACCTTAAAATGCCCGATGTGCAGGTAACTCGACATTCTGTACCATCACACGCTTTACGAAATCTAAACACAAATCAGGGGGCTGTGTGGATTCCCTCCAGAGATCAATTCGTCCTGACCTCATTTGAAGTTACGTTTCCATGTTTTGTCACCGATCACCTCAGTACAGGCACGAGGACCTGAATTAAAATCCCCAGAAATTAAAATGTAGACGTCACCTACTGCAGGCACAGAGAAAACATTTTCACCTAGTGCCTACCTGGAAATACATATTCTTTCTGCACAGCTGGTGCTTAGTTCTCTGACGATGCTGAGCTCCCCTGTGTGTGTTTATATATAGTGGCGACTGCTAAAACCTCTCAGTATTATACATCACAGACTGGCAGACCACATTTTTCATATTTCCCAGCTACTTGAGAATCTTCAGATGGTTCTCTGTCAGCCATTTAAGCCTTCAAGATGAAATATCTGTCCTTCCCTGTCATGTCTTAGCATTTTGTTTTCCTCCCCCAGATGCACAGCCACTGTCAGTGTCTGTAGACATCGAACATCCGGCCAGCAGAGGGCAGCCTCACACATACAGGCTTAATCCAAAAGCACAGGGCGGTTGATTTCACCATCAAGAGTAGCTCAAGTGGCAAAGCATGAAGGAAAGGGAATCCTATTTGCAGGCGTGGGAGGTACGATTCCCACTGACCTCGTCTTCCTGTTAGCTGACGTATTTGGGGGAATCGTGAAACACATCAAACATTGCCTTTCCCAGCTTCATTTGCGTTGGCTCTTCAGTGGTAGAAAAGTTGTCCGAAGGTCCCTCTGAGTACTGTGTTGTTGACTAAGTACTATTCTTTAGTCCTGCATCTAACATCTAAGAGCAGGACACTCCTGCCCAGGCCCATTCTCCATGTAAGATGCTGGGAGGAATTTCTCTCCTCTTTAAAAAAAAAATTTTTTTTTTTTTTTGCAAAATTTTTAAGGTCATATAATAAGTGTACATATTTCTGGAGTACGCTGTGGGATTTCAAAGGACACACAGTGTGATGACCGGATCAGAGGTGTTTGCACATCTGTCACCTCACACGTGTACATGACTCGATGCCGGGAGTATTCCAAACCATTCCTACTATGTATTTTGAAATGTCAGATTCATTGTCAGCTCTGTTAAGTGACGGCTACAGATCACTGGAAGCTCCTCCTCCTCCAAGTGCCTTATCTGGTAGTCACCTCCATCCAACCCAGTCCCCTGTCTGCCTTTGTAAAGCCTCTCTCCACTTCTAGCTGCTCATTAGTGGGGACAGACCAGTTTTCTGCTGCCCTTGGCACAGGATGAGCGGCCCCCCAGCCCTCCGCCAGTCTGCTGATGTGTTCTCTGCTTTGGTTAGTATCTGCAGAGCTTTGTGTGCAACTCAAATATGAGTATGATGGATAGAAGTCCCTTTGCACCTGCTTCTGCCAGGACCAAACTCTTACTCACCACTCCCTTTCATATTTACAGACCAGGAACCACCCTCTGCAGCCTCTTGGTAGCTCACTGCTCAAGGTAATGCTCCCGGGAGGTGCTGTACTGCTTCCCACCTCTTACTGGTTCATGGCACACCTTTCCTCGGTCCACGTTCCGCAAGCCCTCTGTGGAGCCCACAACGATGCTAGAGGATGGCTTTTCTCAGAGGCTCATGTCACGTGGCATTTGGTCCCTAATGTCCGAGGCGGTCTTCCGCCTGCCCCTCTCTTGACCTCAACTGATTAGGGCTTCTTTTGAACCCTTCCTGTTCTTTGGGAAATGTATACCATGCCTACTAAGGCCTTCGATAAGTTGTACATAGCTGGTGACTACTTATTGCCTACTGTGCAAGAAGCAATCCTGAAAGTCTGCCTTTACCCCAGCAGGACTACCAAGTGATTGAGTCATTCTGGCATTTTTAAAAGACCTTTATTAGTTCTCCTTCATGGTTCTTAAAATTTAATGCTAAAAAAAAAATGGCAAACTGCTAATAATTTTAACTAAGAGAAACCGGGTTAAAGGAATTTGAATACTGACTGTTTTCTGAAAAATTGCCACAAACTTCCCCTCACGTTTAAAATCACCTGTCTGTTTTACTCATGGGAACCAAAACCTCTCACTCTTGGGTAAGTGAAGGGAAACATCTCCCTTTACTCCGCACCCTTCCCTACTCAGCCCCAAAGCTTCCCGGTTCTGCCCAGAACCTTCCTGAAAACCTGTGCCCTCCATTCTCTTCCGGCAGCCTCTGAGCCGCCTGGGTCCTATCACACACTACGTAGTTGGATTTCATTATGAAATCTATGAATGCAAAGTGTTTCTCCTGTGTGCTGTGTTCTTATCGAAACCTTCCATGGGCCATGGCTGTCTGTTAGTTCATGCCACCAGCTCTCCCTTCCGACTTCCCCCAACACTGCCCACCCCACATCTACAGGGCAGCATCTCGTCTGTAACACAGTATTACAGCGTTGGGCAGCCACTGTTTCTCTGCTCAGTGGAAAATAAGCAGGAAAATGCCTTAAGAGAAAGAGCAGGTAATATTTATCTATTTCTAATGCTCAGCATACTGTCCGACAGGAAACGGGATCACTCAAGTTTTTTTTACTGCATTCAAATGAACGTATGTTTATCACATAGTCTTTTAAGAACTGTATTTTAAAACACTACAATTTCAGGTATAATCATGTGAAAGACTTAGTATGTGATTTTAATTATGGTTTTATATTTTCATTAAATATGGTAGCTGACCTAAATTTTAAATTTTAGACGTTTTAAAGGTTCATTTCATACGAGTGAGTGTTTTGTTTGAATGTGTGTAAGTGCACCATTTTCCTGGCCAGTGCGTGAGGAGACTTCTGGAAGAGGGCATCTGATTCCCTGGAACTGGAGTCACAGATGTTTATGAGCTGCCATGTGGGTTCTGGTAATTGAATCTGTGTCCTCTACATAAGCACCAAGTGCTCTTAACCACAGAGCCATTTCTCCAGCCTCATATTTTAATTTCTAAAAATGATTTTTCACTCAGAAGCTCCAGTGGAGAGGTAAAATTCTTAAAGGAGATGATCCTTGTATTATACCAGGAAGTGTTCAGTGTCATAAATGAACAGCCTTTAATATACTAACCACACCTATTAAAAATATTAGGTAATATTTAATTTTCTCCTAAGTGCGTGTTGAGGAGCAGGCACTTATAGCTTACTATGTACAAATCATCAAGGAAGACATAAATTTGCTGTGTAAGTTGTTGCTTAAAGAGTATTAGCAGTTCTTATATTTAGTTTATCTAATTAAAAAAAAGCTACATAATTCACATGGAGAACATGTTTCCTGTTCCTGAAGCTCTTGAGTTGGGTGAACAGCCAGATTTACAGGGGGACACATGGGGAGTGGGTTTATAGGGACACAGAGAAACAGAGCTCTTCGTCACAGCTTGAAGTACACAAACAAAAATTAGGCAGGAAACTTGATTCTACACTAAAATATGATTTTAAAAGTTCTTTCAGTTAATGTATGCATGCAGTTGGTTAAAAAGAAGTCTGAATAACCTAAAAAGAAGGGAACATTCTGTTACTATTTACTGGAGAAACCTATGACAAATTCTCAGAGGCATTTAGACATAAATTCTCCCTGTAACACAAGCTTGGAACTCTGAAACATGTAACTTATATTTCTGCTTGCACTTGGAGCCTTTCTTCCCAAAGCCTATGAAAATATGGTGTACTTACCTCTCCTGGCCGGATTTTAATGTAGAAGTTGTTCCGTTTATATGAAATTTTTAGGACCTTGGGCCAAGCGAACCTGTTTATTCGAAGCCGGTCACGGTATATCAATAGGCCACTTGCACAGACTCCTAACATAATTTCTACTCCTTCTGAATCCTGAAAGAAACAATGCAGCAGTATCTCACTTATTTCCATTTCCTGCACGTCCAAGATTCAGGTCTCCGTGACAGAAGTTATAATTGACTAATTTAAATATGAAAAATACTGTGGCGATTTTTAAAACACCAGTGCTACATAATAGCATTTTAATGATGGTATTATTCACTATGGAGGGCCGGTGAAGGTAAATCAATTCACCCGAGTATATGAGACTTACAACACTAATACTGCGCGCACGTGTGCGCGCGCGCGCACACACACACACACACACAGTCTTCATTATAAAATTCTGAGGCATGGAGTCACCCAGTGCCACGGAAGATGGACTTCCGTGGTAACGCTGAAGGATAAAAGACCGGATGGCACCAGAATGTTATGTGAGGTGCACGCGAGGCTTCAGAAGCAGGTCCTGTCCAGGAAGTGACATGTAGGGCTCTCTCTGGTAGGTGGCATGGGCCTGCAAGCTTGGAGTCACTTGAGAATGGAGATGGAATGGTGAAAAAAAACATACAGGGGCCATACGTTGTTCTTGTACGTGGTGGGAGGTTTCTATGACCCTCACCATGAGCAAGAGAGCCGGATGTTTCCAGGATGAAAAAAACCTTTCACTTGAAAACACTAACGTCTGAAAACAGTACAACAGTTTCAAGTCAACTATTTTTACTTGGAAATATACTCTATTTGGTTGTGAGCCTAGCCTTTAACGGCTGAGCCATCTCTCCAGACCTAGGAAATATACTCTATTTGATACCAACTTATTCCATAAAGTGAAATGATTTGAAGTCGGGGTTTTATCATTTTATAATAAAACAAGGGGGGGGGACCCTTAGTGGTGGGGGCTTGAATTTGAAGGTGCAACCGAAGAACTTGTAACCTGATGCCCCCCCCCCAAGTCACTGGTATTGATGCCTGAACACCAGCCAGTCTGTGCTGATGGCCACTAGGAGGGACGGCCCCGGAGCATAAGCAGACAGGCCAGCAGGGAGAGGCGATGTTTCAGCAGCTGCTCTTTGAGTCATTTTTCCTTTAGATATAAACAGATTTATGTCTTTGTCCAAAGAGGAAAATGATCTTAAAACCATTTCCATTGTTATCTATATTCTCACTGCCTATTATGTCACCGCACATGAAGGACACGGTGCCCTTCACACATGGAGGAGGCGGGGAAGGCCTACCCCTGTGCATTTACTGTGTGTGGCTCCCTAAGCCACCTGCATCAGCCTCCACATCTGCCTGGCAGTGGTGCTGGGACCAAGCCCCCCTGCCTCTCCCTCCCCTGAATGTGTACTTGGCTAGAACTGCACTCTGCTTTGCCCCTGTAACTGCCCAGCAGGTACCCAAGTCAACGAGTTTGTTGAAAGCAAAGGTGAATAAAAACATGAAAATATGAAGTCTGTTGCTCATTAACTACTACAACAACAAAAGATATTTCTGTATCAAAATGTCTGCCAAAGCCACAGATTGAGATAACCCTCAAGGACAGTTGGCACTGAAGATTCCATTGCCTTCTCGGGGCATTTGTCTATGGCGGCGTTCACACACCTACTGTGCTGGAACTGTGGACAGACCCAGGGTGTGGCAGCCTGTCCTGATGAGGGCAAAGCATTCTGTTATTCCTTGAAATCACATCCATCCATCCATCCATCCATCCATCCATCCATCCATCCATCCATGTTTTCTCGCAGCATTGGCGATTTAACCTGGGGCTTTGCTCTATCAGCTGGCTACAGACTTCAGAGATCTTTATGTGCCTCTGGTGGCCTCAAACTCTCAACCTTCCTGCCTTTGCCACTGGAGTGCTCAGGTGACATGTATATATCCCCACACCTATCCCTTCTCCCTTCAGAGTAACTATAAACGATTACTGTCCTTCGATATTTCATCCATAGGGCATCTGATAGGAACACACACACACACACACACACACACACACACACACACACACACTCTTCATAATCTTACGTAAAATAAATAGCTTTGGCAAAACCTAGTTGAGATGCATACTGAAAAATGAGTACATAAAGATTTCCTAAAAGAAAACAAATTATTCAGGGTAGGTTTCCCAAACACAAGATCATCATGTATGGTTATTTACTCCTTGTGATGAGCTCTTGAGTCCAAGATCGCAATCCAGAACGTGTAAGGGGATCCTTGAGTTCCGAGACACTCATGCCATCCGCATGAGACAATTGCCTCACTGATGACCAGAAATTAGCACTGATTTAATTTAGTCAATCTCCTTCTTGAAACAATGGAGTGCGGCTTCATGAGAAAATGAGGTCTACAACCGAATCATTCGCTATACTTAATATCCAGATAAAATCCTATAACAGGATGCATTCTACTTCCGTAATTCATTATTCCTAATTGGCATAATTTCAGATCATATTACTATATAAAAGCAGCCATCTATTTAAGTTCAGTGGGTACTGTGAGGTTAAGTGGCTTGATTTTTTTTTCCTGTATCAGTGACACACCCTGAGTGGCCCTCCTTCCCCAAAGGATGAGCTAATTTCTATGTCTAGGTAGTAGATGAATCACAGTGCATGACATAACACAAAAGCCAAGCCACATTCACTCGGATTGTCTCATCGTGTTCATTTCTTCACCTTTTAGACAAATGGAGAAAATATGAAGATGATTTAAAATAAAATCTCACTGTATGCATATCTGGCATAATGTAGGGGAAAAAATGAGTGAAAAAGGAACCTACTGCTGTGATCACACACACACACACACATACACACACACACACACACACACACACACACACACACGTACGTCAAGGAGCTCGGCATTTACTGGTATACCGCTGCCAGGAGCCCTGGCCATACCCATAGACATCTTAGGATATGTGACTTAGAGGTGCTTGTTCTTGGTGATGTTCATGGTGAGCCAAAGACATCTCCAATCAAAAGACTCATGAAATCTAGATGTCTATATTTTCCAGTCCAAGCTCACAGTAGGTTTGCCATGTTCCCCAAAAGTCAACTCCAGAGCTCTCCCACTTATCAACGGGACTTAGAGAACACAGGCTTCCTTCTCTGTTTACCACGGTGCTGGGATGTTTGCTTGGCTTTGGCCAGCTGGAATTTCTTTATCTCTAGGCCTCAGAATAAAAGAGACTTGCTTCCTTGGGAGCCTGCAATCACACATTCTTTTGAGGTCCAGACTGTGAAACTGGGATGAAGGTTAGGATGTAATGGCTTCACCAGACCCAAAATAAACGAATAAATGGGGAACACTTATATAGAAAAATACAAAGAACCATGGGGGTGTTTCTCGGCCCTTCCTATCGGATTGGCTAACCCACCAGAACTGGAACATAAATGGAAGCCACGCCTCAAGCTTCTCTCCTTTAGTTTCCATCCACCTGAAGCCACACCCAAAGGGGTGTGGCCACCATTACAGGTTCACAGGCAAGACAACTACCCTGGGACATCTATCAGAGGCCAACTCCTTATTCCTATTCAGGCCTGATATGATCTTGTCAGTGTCAGCCAGAAGAAACTACACGCGATCTTTAAGGACTGACCTTTTGAACAAGGCTAAAGTACATGATTCCACCTCCAAGAGTCCCAACAGAGTTCACATATTTTGTTGATAAATGTTTTAAGTGCTTCCCTGTATTTTAACAGTATGTTTGCTCACAGCTGTCTAAATAGCAGACATGTAGTCGCGGACTCATCCTTTCAATGTTGAGTTGGAAATTCAAGGAAAAGCGTGGTACAGAGTCAAGCCTAGCCTGTCTCCTAGCACAGCTAAAACCCTCCTGTGGTTTAATACCAACTACTTCCTTCCTAAGATGCACTTCTAACACCGTATCGCTGCATCCATTACCAGTCAGTAAGGCAATCCTTGCCCTGAATGGCTGAACCGTTAAGAGACAGAGTTAAATTTAACACAAACTTACTGAATGCTCGGTGGGGGCTTTAAAACAGGGACACAAACAGTATGTGACACATAACAGATGTAACACTTGGCACTGGACAATTGGCCAACTTCAGACAGACAGACAGAGAAGAGAGGGACTGTCCAGAGAAAGAGGAGAGGTTGTGTTCATTCAGGGAAGGGGCAGAAGCAGGGACACAAAGGGTACATGTCAGCACAGGAGGTACAATTGTGTCAGGGAAGGCTGGGTGAGCTAGGGCTCCTAAGTCAGGGTTAAGTTTATTGTGGAATCAACAGGCAGCAGAGACGTCGTCCTGGCTGTCTTCCATGGAGCGTAGCCACGGCAGTAATGCAACTCTGAGACATGAAGGGTACGTAACTACAAAGATGAGCACTATTTGTTTTAACACGGGACAGGTTTCAGACACGACGGTTTGAAGCATTCATTTACATTTAAATGAAGTACAAATACCAGCTTGTGGTAATAACAAAATCCAGCGGACTGGGATTGTAAGATGCACACCTTCACATGACATAAATCACGGAGACAGGGTGTGAAAACACGTACCTTGGCATGATGTAAATCTACCCCATACATGGAGAGCTTTTTGGCGTTTTCCAAGAAATGCATCTCTGCTTCTGCTGGCGTCATCCCTCTGATTAGAAAAAAGTAAGTGGTTAAACTTCTCCAGTCACTTAGAATTGGAAATGGAATAGCAAATAGCCACGTTTGCTCCCCTACGCCATTCAGCTACTTTCCCTTTGTCTGGTAGGATGCAAAGTCTCCCACTTCCCTCCCTCCTATCATGTAAGAAAAACCTTCATTGGGAAACCAGAAGACACAGGTTTGAGCATCCCTGATTCAAAAATTCCAAAGCGGAACTTTCCAAAAATCTGCATCTTCTAAAATACTGATACAACGTGAAAGGAATTCTAAAAATACTGTATAAAGTCCCGGGGGGGGGGGGGTCACGCACATTCTGTGTTTACAAAACATAAATGGAAATTCCTATTTAGACTCTTGTTTCATTCCCAAAGACAGGCAACTACTTTATACAACTATCCAGCAGTCTAAAACATGTGAAATCTGAAACATGTCTGCTCCCAAGCGTGGCGGGTAAGAGATTCTCAGCATATACACGGGAAAATGATCACGAGACAGACAGCTTAGTGGGAACATTCACAAACAGACGCCTGGATGTTCTGAGAGGGGGTTTACCTACACAACCATGTGCGGCCTCCGCCCCGCCCCGCCCCGCCCCGCCCCGCCCCGCCCGGAGCCCCCTGGCATCAGAGCTGGGCTGGAGGCCTGAGGCACTCTCTGCAAAACCATTTCCGCAACCAACCTGTGACTCTTGTGCAGCTCAACCACTTTATCCTCCAGTTCTTTGGTGTGGTTCGGTGCAAAGCGGAACTCGCTGATGTAATCACTGCCACACTCGTCAGGGTCGTAGTCTCCAAGTTCTGACTGCACAGTGTAGGAGCCCAGCAGGGCCAGCGTCACAAAGGAGCAGGGCAGCCTCCCAGACACGATGTCATCGCGCAGCTGTAAGCAGAGGTAGTACCTTCCAGGGGCCAAAGGGACAAAGACAACGTTGGCTTTAGGACACACTGACGGGAGCTGGAAGGGGCGTTGCAGGGTGAACACGCTCTAGAAACATTATATTCGTGGGCGAGATTTCCGAGGAATTAAAAAAAAAAAAGGAGGTATTCATAAATAATTTCTCCCAGGCCAGTAAACTCTTTCAACGATTTCAACTATAATAAGTCTAGAAAGGGAGAAACTACTAGGCTACAGGTAGTATTTAGCGGACCTAGAGGAGGCTCAGTCAAGCGCAAAGTGAAAGACATTTAAAAATGTTTTCTTTTCCCTAGATTTACACACTCTCGGAAATCTGTTGGGGTGAACTATAATAGAAAAGGATGTTGTTATACAAAACCACCGGACCCCATGCAGCCTTGGGGGGGGGGCTCATTCTAAAATCTAGGTGACCTCAGGTAATCCAACAGCTGTGATTTAGGAACTCAGTAGCTGCATTTCTAAGAACAAATACTCTCTACTCTTTTTTTATTGTGATAACTTCCTGGAGTTTAGCTGATACAAATTCTATAAAAACTGCCTACCTTGAAATCTGGGACTGTTGTCATTACAGGTGAATAGTTTTAAATTGGAGAAATATAAAAGCATCCCCCCCCCCCACATAGTTCTACCATGATGTCATAAAGTAACTACATCAGTAGCTGATCTATCTTCTGTCTGAGATTCATAGATTAGGAAAGTATAAAATAAGAAAGAAGTTAAATAAAGATTAACAGATAAACCCGGAGGGTAAATGCCAACACCCACGAGATTTAACGCTCATGGTCATCTGCTCTCTGCGAGAGAGAGAGAGAGAGAGAGAGAGAGAGAGAGAGAGGTGTGCAGGCCTCCAGGGAGCAAGTCCAGCAATGGATAGATGAGAAGTCTGTGCAATTCAGGTATTAAGAGTCCTTACACATCCCACAGGCTCTATGCATACTACACAGTAGACAGGAACTGTGCATGCATTTATAAATCTAAGAACATTTAGGGTATACAACCACAAAATTAGTCATAACTAAGTATTTAACCCTGGGCAGAAGTGTCTTTAAATAGACAGAGTACAAATTTTCCCTGATTTCCTGCAGATATAAAAGAAATGCCCTGGAACTGTTAACTCTTCTCGAAGATCTTGTTAAAACTATTTTTCAATGCAGCAAGTGGAGGACACCATTCCAAGTAATTTCTTTTCTTTGAAAAAAACCTTCCAAGAAGGCACGAGGCTACAAAGAAAATCACACACACACACACACACACACACACACACACACACACACACACAGCGCAAAGAAAACCATGCACATGCAAGACTAAGTCACTCCGGTCATAATCTCACTACCAAAGCCAGGGAGGGCTGGGTCTCCCAAAGCACAAGGTGGAAATATCCACAAAGGCATGAGAATGGAGAAGGAAGGTCCTGGATGTTTGTGTCCCAGCTCCTACCCCTGAATCCACATTCGGAAATGCTAGCCCTGCCCAGTGTGGTAGGTTGGGAGGCGGGGTCGTTGAGAGGTGATCAGATCATGTGTGTAGAGCCTGCATAAATGCAATCAGTCGTTTTAAAAAGGTAAAGGGCAACTGTGTGGTGAGGAGACTAATAACAACCAGGTAGTCTGTAACCCTGGGACAGAGCCTCATACCAGCTCCCTTGCCTTGATCTACAAGTCTCCAGAATGCACCACGTGAATTTCTGTCTGTAGACCAGTCTTGGGTATTTTGGGACAGGAGCAAGAACAGACTAAGTTACACAGTGTAACTCTACAAAAGGGGAATCCCTTCTCATACACTAAGCTCACTGAGCTAATCCACCAAACTGGAACCATTGTATGCTAGGTCTTTTTCTTAATATCCTCTTCCCAGAAAACAAATCCGTCATTTCCTGGTTTATGTACCTATGAGAGAAAGTAAACTCTTAGATTTATTCATGCTTTCTCATTTCTCCCCTCTCAATCTCTCTCTCTGATTGTTAAAAACATCTATGAAGTATCAGGTTGGCTACACACAGAACATAGACATATAAAGATATCAGTAATTTAAGTTTTACATCGGGGCCATTCAGTGTTGCTAGGCCATTCATGACTGAATCCCATCCATTTTGGCTGTGGTGAGTGGGTGGAGTGTATCTCAATTCTGAAAGTTTCCCCCTAGAGGGTCAGAGAGATGGAGATATCAGCCTATCACAGAGGATTCCAGTGGAGAGATAGGATCTGGCAACTCCTGGCATCTCACGTTCGCACTCATTCAGTTAGTTGCCCTTTTGTTTGCCATTTGAGAGACGGTGACTGTTAGGGACCAGGAGTACCCATGCCCTTCCGGGAGCACTCGAGAGATGAGTGGCTCTCCCAATGTGTGCAGGCTCCCATCTTTCAAATACCTGGTGATGTCTTCTGATAGCTGGGCAGGGTCTGGCGGGTAAAATTTCACATTAAATGAAAGGTGCCAAGCGCCACCTGCAGGGTAGGACACACATCAGAACAAATCCTTAGGAAACTACAATCAGCTTCGCATCTTAATTCAAGTTCCAAGAGCCTCACCTCCAGTTAACACCTGTCAAGGGAACTCTATAGATAATTCCAAGTCTTGCCCCCAGTCAAGTCATTTACTGGCGCTTTTCAAAACGCAAGGGAATTTACCAATTTTTTTTTCTTTTCCTTTCCTCAAGATCAAGAGACAGGCGTAATCCTGTATCAGATAACTGGAATTGGCCAGATTTACTGCTTATGAATTTCTTGATAGCTCGAATGACAATAGCACAGACAGAACTATCTCCTAGGTCCTTTCTGCTCTGTTATTGCAGGACAAATCCTGTTCTGATAAATGTCGAGGCGCCAGTGCACATCTCTTTATTTTAAGGGAAAGGAGGTTTGCTTTAGTGAATATTGCTTCCTGTGGGCTGCTGCTGATACCTTCCTTGCTCAGAGACTGTTTCCATGCAGTGGCTATCGGAATGCATGGAAGGAAGGGACAACACCCAGCCCCTCCACCCATGACTCACTCGGGTCTTTCTTATATTGCACCATGCTTTGCCCATGGCATCTTTTAAGTTCTCTCCAGCAGCAGAAGCGTCAGGCAGACACTAGACGCTCCGTTCTCTGCTCCTGTCTGTGCATGTCTAGACAGTGTTGCCGTTTGGATTTAGAACGATCCCTCGAAGCTCACGTTGGACGTTATGCCCACACCGGCAGCTCTAATTTCATGAATGGATGAATCCATTTGTAGATTCAAAGTCTCATGGGAGTCGGAGGAGGGACAGTGTGACACAGGTGTGTAAGTCCTGGCGTCTTTCCGGTGTCACCCTCTCCCTGCTGCCATTAACCGCCAAGTCACAGGCCCAAAAGCACCCGAGCCAGTGACCTCAGAACCGTGAGCTACGGCAAACCATTTCTCCTTTGTGCTGGCTGGGGCTGTCTAGAGTACTGTATTAGTTAGGGTTAGACGCTCTGGGCACACTGAACTGGAAGCTCACCCATTTCCCCCTCTTCTACACTGTTTTCTTTCTTAGGACATAATCTTCATTTCTCCTACTTGCCGTGTTCATTTCTCTTGGCTTCTTAAAGCACGGTGATTTATCAGCTCTTGGCGCTCCTTCTCTGCGACACCGCGTCTTTCCCCCCCCCCCCAGTCAACAGCTACACTGAAGGCTCTTTAGCACGGCCTCCAGAAGCATCTGGAAAGGAAGTTCACTTCCTTTCATGCCACAGGCTTGCTCTCACCCGTGTTTCTGTGATCCCCTGAATGGCTCTCACCCGTGTTTCCATGATCCCTGAATGGCTCTCATCCGTGTTTCTGTGATCCCCTGAATGGCTCTCACCCGGGGTTCTGTGATCCCCTGAATGGCTCTCATCCGGGGTTCTGTGATCCCCTGAATGGCTCTCACCCGTGTTTCTGTGATCCCCTGAATGGCTCTCACCCGTGTTTCTGTGATCCCTGAATGGCTCTCATCCGTGTTTCTGTGATCCCCTGAATGGCTCTCACCCGGGGTTCCGTGATCCCTGAATGGCTCTCACCCGGGGTTCTGTGATCCCGAGTTGCCCGTCCTCTCCACATCCTCCTCCTATGTTTCCTCTGCCTGTGAAGTGGCATTTGCAGACTCCATGTGCTCTACAGGCCGCTCCTGAACACGCTGGACAAAGGAGCACCTGCTGCCCACATTCCCTAGCTCCCTCTCTCGCACACGTGGCAATGCTTGGCTATGTCGGTCGCTACATTTCTGTCACCAACACCACAGCACGACTTACACCTTCTAGTTTATTCTCTGAACTACCATCTACCTGGCACTTAAGATTCCACATGCCAAAGAGTTAGCGTCTCGCCAGCTATTATTGGGCACTTAATGTCGTTTTCAAACCATTCAAGATGTGAAGGCACCATGGTTTTTAACACTTATAAGCCATAAATATCAATATATTTTTTTAGTGATTTCTGAAAAAATGCCTTTTGGTCATTCTACAGATAGTCTGGTTTTTAATTAATTAATTTATTTACTTTTGTTCCTATTGATTCTTGCTCAGTTATTTCTAAAACAAACCCCTTTTGGTGTATGCGAATAGTGAGCTGGTTAATGGGAGCTGGTTTTACAGCAAGCAAGTGGGACTCAAGCCAATGGATTTTTCTATGGGGGGGGGAGATTCACTGTTATTTTACAATTTTCAAGGAAGCCTTGACTTCAATGGCAAGTCCTGTAGTACAATTAAACCACTTTATAATAAATCCAGAGTGACAACTCAAAGTTGGAAACTAACCAGTAGAAATCATGAGCGATGCATTTCAACACAAAATCCTCATCCTAGAAATCAATTAGGAAATGACATCGAGATTCAATGTACCGGAGGTGATTCGAGAAATGAAAGTTGCTAAGCTTTATCCCAGAGAATTTCATTCCTGAGACCTGGAGTATCGTGCTGACCTGTGGTGACATCCCTCGCACAAATAAAGCCTATGGGGGGGGGGCGGTCCAGAGAATGGAGCTTACCGCTAGCTAACCATAGAGGTCTGGAGGTCTGTGCAGATAGACAGGAAGTGACGTAGCTGGGCAGAAACGGGAGATAAGCAGGGAGAAGCAGGAGCTCGCTCTCTTGCCGGCTGAGATGCTTAGGAGGTGAGGTGTGGCTGTGGCTTGCTCCTTCTCTCTGGTGTCTCAGAGTTTCCCTTTATACCTGACTCCAGCTTTTTATTATCTAGACCGATTAAGAACTCCTTTTACACCGACCCTTTGGTTTTAAGCAAGCACCTTTGTGGTCCCAGTACAGGTGGGGAGAACTGTGGCATTTTAACGAAAAAGTGAAATTTAGAGATTGGGGGGGGAGTGGGTGGGGGCTGGGGGAGGGAGGGAGCACTAAGCAAATAGTCTGGGAAGAGGGGCTTGTGCATAAGATCAGACAACCCTGCCTCAGCTCAGAGAATGGCCTGGAGGGAAACAGGAAGAGAGGCAGCTCCAACACTCTGAGGTAACTTTCCCTGCGCACCCTGCTGTGTTCCAGATTACAAACTTGTGATTAAACAGAGAACCGTCTTATGAAAAGCCTCTCACTTTAATCTTCAGTGCCTGACAGGTCTTAAAACTCTATAGTGTTTTTATATCACAACTATAAATATCATAAATATGTCGTTCTTCTTCTTATTATTATAAATATGCTATTCACATTATGTGGCAGACGGTGAGGTTATATGACCCTGACGTGGCTTTTATAGAACACATGAACAGGAACACTGCCCTAAGGACAAAACCTCCAGTCTCAGAATTCACATAAATTTGTGACTTGTGTTCATCAGCTTGATCGCCCGCCTTCTCTGAAAGACCTCATTCTACCCATGCGTCGTGCACTTGCCAGTACAGACTATTTAAAAAAAAAATATTAAACTTAGGAAATTTCCACTAATATGAATAAGTGAAAAGCCATGTCTTATTTTGATTGCATCTCAGCAACCTGCTTAACGCTGTTAGCTTGTTCATACTCCGGTTTTGTGACGTGCTCACGGAACCCTCTCGTCACTTTGGAAGCAGATGCTTCCTTGTTATCTGTCAAGTTCTACCTCTCTGACCCTGAGATCCTCCTGCCTCAGCCTCCTCAAGGGCTGAGATTTACAAACGCGTACCACCAAGCCTAGGAGAAATGTGTACTTCTTGTCTTGGGGGGGGGGGGGGGTGAGGAAAGGTTTCCGCCACCAGGCAACTGATTTATTTATCCACTTCCCAAACCATCAAACGGTTAACTGTACTGTGACCTTTGTACCCTGGCAGAGGCTTTAACATTAATAATTAAGTTAGAAACTTTCAATGATTAAGTGATAAGTGCAGCAAAGCCCAATTAAATTGTGTTTCACGTCTGTGTACCAGGTCACCTGTCAAAGTCATTTTACTTTCTGAGCCGTGATGGCAAAAACAGGTCCCATTGGAGCAGGGGCAATGTGTCAGATCAAATTTCTGCTTCATATGAGCCACTGCGTGGGTCTCCAGTCCACACAACACCCTGCCTAAACACTGTCAACGGGGCCACATCAAAGAACCTAAAGGAACTTACTTCGAATCTGTTTTTTAATTTCCTTAGCAGGGTCCAACCAATTCTGAAAGAGAAACGACAATATGAATTTGAATCACAGCAGAGTGAGTGAAATGTAGCCTGATGATTATGCACAGACCAGCCCTACATGACGCAAGAGGGAAGGCCCTCTCCATCGTGGCTCTTCCCACACATCTGGTGGCCTCCGGTCAAGCCTTGCCAGGGCACAGATACTAAATAAGGAGACACATGCATTTACAATTAATACCTGATACAGTTTTTCTCTGGGGGGGGGGGGAAAGTCAAGCCTTACTTTTTAGCATCTTTTTAGCAAATGGAAGCAACTCCCTTTCTCTACTTCTTGCCTAGTTGTGGGACAAAGGCCCTGAGCCTTTAGTCAGGTGCAAACATGTGACTCCAACACTGACACCCACTACCATACCGGACAGTGAACGTTACCCTCGCAGCCTAACTGCTTATGCCCCAGCTGTGATTTCTTCACAGAATTTGGGGGTATGAATAAGTTTTTCATATAAGAATTTAAATATTTGGTTCTCACGGGATCGAGAAATAGATTTAACTATATTGTGAGAAAAAAAGCCCCCTATCAAGTGTCTTCTCAGCTCTAAACCTCAAGGATGAAAACTGAAACTGAGCTACCCTCTCAAAAAACATTCAAGGATGCAGGAAGTTGCCAAGGATACTCTTCATCAAGAAAATGGTTAATCACATTTAGGGACCCAGAGGTGCCTGAGCATGGGTCAGGGGTATTCACAGAGAATGCGATGTGTCTTGGTTGGTTCCAGGTCACTTCTGTATAATAATACACAACCCAGCCACAGTGGCTCATATTTCTTTGACCTCTCACCTTCTGATTCTCGGCATCGCGATACGTGAGACCAAAATAATCCTTTTCCAGCAGGTTCAGATGCTCGCACACTTTGTCAAAGAGCACTTGTCCTCTGGAGCGTTTCTGTGCAAAACAGGACAGGAAAGCCAGTCAGAATACCCAGAAAACCTCTCCCAGGAGATTAACATCAAGCCAAGCATAGAATGCAGATTGCTGGTACCAGTCAGGGAGCGATGGACAGAGTAGAGCATGTCTGTATCTCCAGTTCCGGTGCTAACGCCTGGTGATATTGTCTTAAACACTGATATCTGCTAACATACGGGACAGCAAATGTTATCCTCACAGCCTAATTTTTATGTCACAGCTGCAATTTCTTCACAGAATAAGTTTCCCACATAGGAATCTAAATATTTGTTTCTCACGGGCTCAAGAAATTGGCTTAATTATATTATGAGATGTCATGATTTCTCCACCACAGTGATCTGCACCTTCAAACTGTAAGTCAAAATGAGCCTCTGCTTCCTTCTAGGTCCTTTGTCACACAATGAGACAAATAAATAACTATTCCCTGGATCAGAAAATAAGATACAAAGCAATAAAGACGGCTAAGGTGGAGTTCTGGCCTTGAAACCCAGAACCATGCCTATGTACCTCCACATATGAACACACACACACACACACATACACACACACACACACACGAGTCTCATCCTATAAAAGCTACAAATGAATATACAAACAAAAACTCCAAATGTCAGCGGTGTCACCATGGAAGGTGACTGGAGGAAGACTTTTAAGAAGTAGCTGGAGAAAGGTCATGACCCTACTGTCAAGCACTCTTTGAAATATGAAAAGCCCGAGGATGGATGTGAGCACACAGAACCCACAATGCCATGCTCACAATGTCCAGACTCAGCTCTCTGAATCGAACCTTAAGACCCTGAGCCTGGGAAAGACTAACACTTCAAAGTCTATTACAATCCTCACTCAAGTCCCACAGGTTACTGTCCTCTAAGTTATAGCCATTAGTTTGTTTGGTCTTGTACAACAGCATTCAAAATCCTCTTGACTTCTTTGAGAAGAAATGAACATAACAAGACGAAGATAAGGAGACCTTGATTAAGTCATAAGATTACGGTTAGGTCATACAAATATATGGTGCAGATATACATGCTACATTTGAATCCTCAAGCTGCCATCTGGAGAAAGGGGGACAAAGTTAATCAACCGGGGGGGGGGGGAATGCATCAGCTGAACCTATTGTGTTAACTTTCCATCCATTTTCAACTAATGCTTCCAATGCCTTCGAACATAGCCTTGGAGTCTGAAGTCTATTAACTGCCAACAATTAAGGTGAATTACTTTCCTGTTCTACGGCACCGACATTTTACATGCAATATGTTAAGCATATTTACCTTTGAGATTCAGCGTATTAGCAATGAAATAAAAGAAAATTGATAAACTATGTCCATGACCGAAAAAATAAGCACGCAAAGACCCATGAGTGGAGCGTGTCACTGTGCATTTGTAATTATCCTGAAAGGTAATGGCTTGGTTCTTCCAAAGCATGAATGCTTGAGGAAAAGGGTGAACAACGATGGGAAAGTGGAAGTCATGAACAATGGTGTGTGTTCCACGAAGTATGAAAATAAATTACCAGACTGGGAAAAGACGCTCAGCAAACGTGCAAGAGGAGACATGCTCCTAGCTGGTTTATATCTCTTGTTTATAAATTGCAGCATCTCTGGAACACTGTGAAGTTTGCACATCAACTTAACCGGTCCCTCCCATGCCTACGTCCTGCTTGGACTACAGAACAGACGTGCAGATAAATAGACAGGATGAGGAGACGACCAGCATTATGCTAATGCCTCTGTGTGAACCTGAGCATTTCCTTTGGTAAAACGCGTTATGGTATTGCCTACTACTTCTTTGGAATGGTTGACATTAAAATAAAAGAATTCAAACTCAGGTGAGTGGTAGCACGTGTGACATATTCCGTGAATGTAGCCATCGTTAAAGGGCAGGGCCTGGCCATAAATAACAGGGCAGAAGCTGTTACTACGCGTCTTCTACAGGAGCTCATGACACCTGGTGCTGCCCTTCCTTGTGCAGCATTATTACCGTGGCTTGCTTGTCCTTTAGAAAACAGTTACTGGTTTACTGTCTAATCACTACCTCATACACACTGTTCACGTGTGCACACGATACCCCTAAACTTACATCCGCAGTGTCTGTACAAACACTTCCTTGGTGAGTAATCAGCAAAACAAAATAAATACAAAGACTTATGCTCACCGTTTTTGGATGATTCTGCCTTCTATGACGCCCAAGCCAACAGACTACAGTCAGCCTGCAAGGAGGAGTCCTTTCTGAGGATGTCATAGGCCACCAGGGCAACAGATGCGGTAAGCTGTCTCCTAGGGTGTTCTTGCTTTGACCTAACACATGACTCAAGCGAAGACGGTCTGGCTGACTTGCTCTTTCCCTGGCTGTCATGACTGATTTCTATTAATGACTCATAGCTCTCTCCAGAGTGCTCCATATCTTTTCTTATTGAATATTTCGAGCATATTTTGCTAATAGTGGTCCTTCCCTCACAGTGATGGTACTTTGTTTCCTGGGCTTAAAACGGTCTTTAGACCAGGTGCTGAGCATCTACTATAGACTCTGTGGCCTAGAAACAATGACGACATCCCAGCATGGCCACCAGATACTCGGGCTTCTGGAATGTTATTTTTCCACTTTTTAAACCCTTGGGTGAAAGAGTTCATGGCATAAGGTGGTGGTGGGCTTCAGGCTGTACCGTGCCCCCTGTGGCTGACGGCTAACTACCGGGTTTAAAACATTTCCCTTGACCCATGGGGGCTCTGGCACCTCCGAATTCTGATGACGAAGGAGCAGCTGGGACCTGACTTCAAACTAGTTTTCCAGGCCAGGACTGGATCGTCTCTGAATCTCTTCCTCACCTGGAGAAGTCTTGATCTTTCTAACTCAGGATTTTTTATTGTTGTTGTTTTGGGTTTTTTTTGTTTGTTTGTTTGTTTTTTTCCTAGCAGATTATGCAACTTGTAGTTAACTATTTCTCCTTATTGACATCTGGATGGACCTATAGTTAGTTTTCATTGCCATGATAAAATACCATCATCAAAAGCAACTAAAGGAAGAGTTTGCTTTGGTTTTTACACCTTCAGGGTTGTAGGGGCTGGAGAGGCATGGTGGCAGGAACAGGAAACCGAGACACCACGCCTCATCCGTGCACAGGAAACACAGAGAGTTAACTAGAGGTGGGGTGAGGCTATATGTTCTCAAAGCCCGCCCCCAGTGACACACTTCCTCCATCAAGGCCTCACACCCTAAAATTTCCATAGCCTTCTCTACAGCACCAATAGTTGGGACCAAGTGGTCAAACACCCAAGGTGATGCTGGGTGTCTCTCATTGTAAATATATGACTAAAGCTCAACAGATGGGGGTTTTTAAGAGAAGTCGTGGTAATGCTGTAGCCCTCAAAGACATGCTTCTCACGAAGTGGAGAAATACAAGGGCCCTGTCATTAGACTGGGGTGTGTGACATTCAAAGTCAACTCCATGGGATTTGGAATCACACTGGGACGAATCTTGGGATATGTCTGTGAGAGCACTTGCAGAGGCATTTACAGGAGGAGAGGGGTCCCCTCGGCACGTGGGTGGCGCCATGCATTCCATGTCCTAGGGTCCTGAGTACAACGGGGCAGGGAGCTGAGCATGGGCATTTGTTTCTGCTTGTTGGCTGCAGACTCGGTGTGACCTCTTGGCTTTCGTGCTTGCCACCATGGCATCTCCTTCAAACTGAGCCAAAATACAGCTTCCCTTTCCAAGTCAACCTTATCTCATTTGAGTTGTCACAGCAACCGGGAAACAAATAACCGCAGGGGTAGTGGTAGCTATTTTGAGTAGAAAGAGTAAAATTAAAACAAACAATATATTACAGATTAATGGACGAGTTACCTAACCAGGTAAGATACAGTTTCGATGCTCATCAATGAGCTCATTTAATGAGTTACGTCATTGTTGACTCACTCAAAGCATCCCTCATCCCTCTACAGCACTTCCTAGGAGAAGAAGATGCTACATTCTCAGAAAATCACCCAGGGTTCATGCCTCTCCCTGTCCCCAACAATTAAATGCAACATTTAAAAGATTTCCAGATGAAACGTGGTAAGTTAAACCAGCTTCCTAATTTAGAAATTCTCCAACGTGAGGATTCTAAAGCAATTTTAATTGTCATGAAAAAGCACTATTTTTTCTTTCCCAATTAAATGTATGCCCAATCTGGTCCCTTTAGAGCCTCTTGTGTAAATACTCACTGCTATGTTATGAGAAGAACCGATTCACCTCCGTATTTACTCTGAAAACCTTACAACAATCCCTTTCCAACATGTTTTCACCAAAAAAAAAAAAAAAAAAAAAAAAAAAAGTTCTCGAGAAATGATGAATAAAATATCTGGACACTGCACTAAAAATGAGTCCTCAAACACTGGCCCAAACCCCAAACACTTGCATTTAAAGCTGTTCTTGAAGTGTGTGCATGAAAGTTACAAACCTTCTACAGATTTCTTGAGTTCTTCTATGTAAGGGGACACTTTCCTTTCCCTACCTGAAATGTATACTGATTTTTCTGGGTGCTGGAGATGAAACCTGGGGCCCCATGCATGCTGGGTAAGCAGGCCTGTGTTCTTCACTTAGTTACATGCCCAGCTCTTACATAAAGTCTTCTACTGCAGACCCTTTGACTGATGAATGGATCCAGAGGATAACCAGCGTGATGATCGCTTTTCTGAGTGACAAGGAACATAGACGTGACTCAGAACAATCCCACTCTACAGTGAACAGAGAACAAGGGTGGGCGGTGCCTTCCTGGAAAGGATGATTTCTCTGCCGCGGAGTCTCTGGAAATAATTTCTTAATCTGTGCTTAAGATGAAGAGTACAACACCAGCAACATAAAGCTGATCTCAGCCTAGGTCTCCAAGAGCGAGGGATCAGTGTGAGTGGGGATGTTTCTCAGAAAGGATGAACGTGAAATCAGAGAAAATTGTCAGGTCAAATGGCATCTTTTGCTCTAGGAGCCGGACAGCAGCTAT